AGCGCCATAGCTAGCATTGCACTCACGTGCACGCCCGAGCGGCAGAATTGTAAGTCCGCACTGAAGGGGGGGACACCCCAATAGACTTTCTAGGAACTTGTGTAACCTTAACAAAACATCCCGATAATTGTTAAAGAAATGCTGTAAAAGGTTAACAAAGTATTGTCGAGAAATAAGCTACCAGATAACGAAGAGAAAACAATGTTACGTGTAGATATGTAAATGAGGGGAGTGGCTACAGTAGAACTGTGACGTCACCTCATACTATAAGTACAGTAGCTCAAGTGAAGACAGAAGAGGTGAGCTCCTGAACGGAAAGCGTTGGTCTGCTGGTAGCAGTGAATAGTTAAATTAAAAATTAAAAATAGTACTTTACAAATAGTACAAATTAAAAATAGTACTTTACAGTACTATTGTCAATTCCATTATAGTGAATTTGTGTTAAGCAAGGTCAGATACCTGTATAATATGTAACAATTCAATGAAAACTGATCTTTTAAAAACATTGAAATCTTTTTTGAATATATTTCTAGTAATAAAATTATAATTTTATATATTAAAATATAGGAATTATGTCAGTGGTGTAATGGAAGAGGCAAAACACAACTCGATCATACTTGCAATACATGTCAAGGAAATGGAAGAAAAAGGTTAGTTTAACTTAAATGGAAAAGAGAAACTAATCCAAACTGGAAAAATGTAGATATAAAACACCTCAGTAACCTTTGTTTTATTCCAGTAATATGTAGTGCTTTGCTACTATAGTAATTTTCATTTGTTATAAGTTTTGTATTATCATCTAATCATATTTCTTTTTGTTTAGAAAAATTGTATCGGGTTTTATTGTTACACATAACAGTCTGTCGTGTGTTCTGAATCAATTTTTTTTTTTTTTTTGAGGTTGTAGCATCCTTAACTGTGGATTGGTTAAGGAGAGAATCACGTGGGTGGACATTGTTCCCGAATGGCGGGAGATATAAAGGTGCGCGTTCCATGTGAGGAAGGACTTTTTTTTTTTTTTTTTTTGGATTCTTCTTGAGACCGGATTAGACTCTCAAGCCCCCAACCTGGACAGAAGGTGAGATAAGGTCATGATGACAAGAGGACAAGGAAGATAGAAGATTGAACTGCTGTGTGCAAATGCTAATCTGAAATCATCAAGTAGGAAATTTATTCCTACTATCAAAGAACTTGTGTGAGAATCTACATAATATCAGGTTTGTCCAGTGAGACTGTTATTTTTACAATTCAGCATTTTTCCTTGTTGAACCAAGTGATGACCATGTGTTCATTAACAAAGGCGAATTGGATTCAGCTAAGCAATTGTACTAAGAGGATGCAATGATCTGGAAGTGTCAACCTGTATAGTTAGAGACCTATGTAACTTGTAAATAAATTGGAATAATTGTATAGTTAATAAGAATTTTGTGTAAGAGTCTGAACTGCTTGGTCATGGTTACACCACTATTAAAGTTTGTTCCATCAATCTGTCTCCTTTGTGTTGTAAAGTCCTCAACTCATTACCCCACACTTAGACAGGATATATTTCGATATATCTGAGTCACTACAAACATCTTAAAAATGACAAACATTTTTAAGCTATTACCGGAATAAAATTGAAGGTTACTGAGGTGATTTGTATTAACTTAAATGTTTATTTGGAATGAAATAACTTTTGATGTATTCAATTTTTAGACAGTGTTTTATATGTAAATGTAATAATAATAATATATTTTTACTGTTTTACCAATTTCTGAAACAGGCATAAAAGCTAAGGTAAATTTGCAAATAAGTAAATTTGAAGCTTTTTAAAAAAGACACAAATATTTCATAAATTTTTCAAGTTTACTAGCATTTAATAGAATTTTCTATTTTAATAATTTTTAACAAATCATATCTTTCTAATTAGATGAAATAAATCCATAAAATGAAAATGTACATTTATGATAGACCTTCTCTTATAGATAGCTGCCAGAACTAAAGCTCTTTTATTTTTTTTTATCTGACCTATCAATGAACTTCCATTGAAGTTATCATAAAACTAGCTTTGTATGCAATTGCTGGAGTAAGGAAAGATTGTCACAAATGTTGAACTATTTCATCAAATTAAAAGCTGATTTGTTAAAACATTAGTTTATTTCTTAACTTTTAATCAAGATATTCTGAATCAATTTAGTGTTTTGTCATTTGTATCAATAAGTTATATCAGTAATTGATACAGCTTATAATATTTTTATTAATAGTAATGATATTCATTTTTGTATTTACTGTACATATTTACTATTTTAAAATATAATAAAAATCATCTTTTTTTCTTTTTAGATGTGAGATATGTAGTGGTAATGGAGTAATCAAATGCAATACTTGTAAAGGCAGAGGAAAATTAAAACATTTTATAAAACTCACTGTTACTTGGTAAGATTTATAAATTCAAAAACATTTGTTAAAGATCTTTAAATGTAAAATTCAATCTCAATTGCTTTTCTGGAGGGAAAAATTTTCTAACACTTGAGGACTTGTGGGTCATTATCAGGTAGAAAATGAAGATTGGAAAAAAATAGTAGATTTTCCAACAATTAATCATATCAATTTAATTAATTTATTTATTTGCTCCACATCACATCACATTCCACAATGTGATGTGGAGCAAATAAATAAATAAAACAAGTATGTTTTGGTGGCAGCTTTTCTTGCAATATATATTGGAAAGTTACCATGCATCACAAACATAACAATAAGTTCTGGTAAGACTCAATCCAAGATGAGTGGAAGGGAAAAATAATGTATTTTTTACACTGAGATGTGATTAGTTCAAAAATATGTTACTGTATTTTTGATGTTTATTTGTCTGGTTTACTCTTGAAGTAAGATGCATAATTCAAAAACACTAAAGCTTTTGAAAATTTTACTCTTTATTACAACATAAACTCATTTATTAATGAATGATGCCATTTTTGGGCTGAATATATTGAATACATAATATGTGTATATATACTGATTGAATATATTCAATATACAATTTATGCATGACAAGTAACTCAGGTGCTACTAATCTTAAGTTTATGTGATGAAACAATACATCAATCAAACATTTAAACTCAATAAACTATTTTATTTTAAAAAAAATGAGAACTAGCAGAAGATGGTGCTGGACACAAGGTAATTGCTGACTTATCACATTTGAATCTGTTCATTTGTTGTAATCCCTGTGTTCATAGCAATGCAGATTTCAAGTTTAGACATTATTTTTCAAACTGAATTGAATAAAATATATATTGAGAACTTTTTGTATCATAAGTCAACATTTCCTTCTAAGTTAAAATTTATAAACCAATATATAGCTAAACAGCTCATTCATTTATTCATTCGTAGGATTTCTATTATAATTATTTATTTATTTATTAAAATTATGGAAATAATTATTAGATATAAAAACTAATTTTCATTTCTTAAATTATCTTAAGATTTAAATAAGTGAAAGAAAAATTTGATTACGGATAATCAAAACTGATCATGATTATAATAAGTTAATTTTGCTGCTTTTTTTGTTATGTGCACAAAATATACAGTACAGTATATGACAGGGTTGGCCAAACCTTGTCATGATAGGAGCCATGTATTGCCTATCAGAAATAAGCAAGAGCTGCATCCTCTATTATAGTGTTTCTCAATCTTTTTCTCATCAGACTGGTAAAATTATGTTCATAATTTTGTGTGATTAGTAATTACATGCAACTATGAATTATGCTCATTTATTACTCTTATATATGCTTATCCCTTTCTTTTTATTTATATTTTAATCTTTTGTTATGTGTGTTATTTTCAGGGAGAGGATATCAATTGTCTTATGACATTTCCTTTTGTATATGCAATGAATAAATAAGTAAATAAATAGTATGTACAATAACTCTAGATCACTATTTAAATGTTACCTGAATTTAACTGTGCCAGCGTCAGCATGGTCAAATATTTTATTGTGGACCGGTGAAATTTTTTTATGGACTGGCAATTGAAAAAAACTACTCAATTAAAATGGTATTTTATATTGTATGTAGTTAAAATATTAATACTATAGTTATCTACTGTTCTAAAATAAATATCATTGTGACTTTACTGACACTTTATGACCAGCTAGATCAGTGTTTTTCAACCTTTTTTATCTCATGGCACAAATTTCTGTGGAAAAATCACATGATTTGAAGTTGTGTTTGTATACATTCTATTGCCATATTACTTGCCACTTAAAGAACTATAATACTTTAATATATAGTTGGTTTGCTGTATGTTATATTAACAATGTAAATTCGTCTCTGTAATCCAAAACACACACTTTGGTAGACGTATCTCACAGCAATTTCTGGTTAGCAAATTTAACTTTTATTACTCATTGAACTACAAATATATTTCGGGTTGGTATAATATACTCCAACCCCTCTTCAGTGATTTTTTCATTAAGTACACAACAAAAATTGTTTCTTATTTTGCTTTTTCACAAATTAGGAGGTAGGAGAGTAAACCGTTTACAAACATCAATTTATGTTTTAACTTAAATACTATGCATACCATATTAATATGTAAAAGGGATAGGGGTCAGGGGATAGAGGAGTGAAAAGTCCCCACCTTGCAGACTGGACATCTGGAGAACAGATGTTGAATTCATCCATCCTTAGTATCAATTTTTCCTTCGAGTTAAACTATAGCAATCTTTATTTTGTATTTTACATATTAATATGGTATGCATAGTATTTAAGTTAAAACATAAATTGATGTTTGTGAACGGTCTACCCTCCTACCTCCTAATTTGTGAAAAAGCAAAATAAGAAACAATTTTTGTTGTGTACTTAATGAAAAAATCACTGAAGAGGGGTTGGAGTATATTATACCAACCCGAAATATATTTGTAGTTCAATGAGTAATAAAAGTTAAATTTGCTAACCAGAAATTGCTGTGAGATACGTCTACCAAAGCGTGTGTTTTGGATTACAGAGACGAATTTACATTGTTAACTATAATACTGTTTTATTTAATTTACAGCCTAATTCTTTTTGTTTATATTTTTTAAAATAGAAGCAGGTTACAACAATGATTATTTAAATTAATAATAATTTTCATTTACATAAGAAAACCAAAGTCTTAATTTGCATTTAAAAGTGGCATGACAATTGCCTTAGCAGGACATTGGGCAGGTTTCTAAAGTTAAAATAATTTGAACTAAATACAGACAGTTATAGATGAAATTTTCTTTAAATCAAAAATGTATTTTAAATGAAATTACTTGTGTTATGCACATATAATTTTGCTTATGAATATATATTTTTCACTACGTTATGTATATGTTCATATGATTTTTTCATTGTTATAATATATAATCAATTTAAAGAGGTTTTAATTTTGATATGTACACTGTTCTTTGGGCTTTTTTCAAAAATAATTTATTTAATAACCTTCAAAATTTTCGCGGCACACTGAAAATCACTGAGCTAGATAAACATTTAATTCCTTTCACTTTAGGAATGTAGTCTTTTTAGTTTAGTTGCCTTAAGGTTAATTTGCAAGTTATGTTTACAATACATCTCACTACATAATAGTCAGCAAACTTACAAAAATATTAAATAGTCATACCAAGTAAAAAGAAATAGTGTAAGTATACAGGAGCCACAATAACAATCTAGAAGAGCTGCAATTTGACTACTATTTAAATGGGAAAACTGCCAGTTATATAATGACCAAACCATGTTTATTATACTTATTAATGAAAATTAATAAAATTATATTAATTGAGTAAATAATACGAACAACGTAGTATCAATATAATAAATAATTATTATATTGATACTATGTTGTTTGTCTATTTACTCAATTAATATGCAGTAATTTAGTTGCTTAGTAACTTAAGTTTTTTGTTCTTTTTTACATTTTAACTATTTGTTATTTTTAAATAATAAGTTATACATTTGATAAAATTGCCAGGACTATAATTAAAATTAATATACAGTTTAAGACTATACGAAGAGTCTTTCGATGTCCTTTCTCACACCTTAAACTGTATATCAATAAGTTACACACTTTCTCTATTTTAAAATAGTTTAATTATTTTAATTATACTATATTTTATTTGACAGAATTTTAAATCTTGATTTTAATTTATGCTTTGCTTCTAGGAGAAATCATACTGATGATTTTGTTGTTGAAAACACAAATTTACCAGATGACTTAATCTGTGATGTAACTGGTGAAATTGTATTTAGTGATCAGAATTTCAGAGTAAGAAATTAATTTTTTTCATTTCTTATTGATAGCCTTGGCAAATGTCTACACAACCAAGGAGTTTATGTATGAAACCATTTTATATGAACCCGTTTTATAGGGGTCTACTGTATTTTTATTATTGAATTCAGTATACTGTATATAGTAAAAACATAGAAAAACAATCAAATGCTTTATTTAATAATTGTGAATAACTGTATTTATTAATTTATAAATTAATAAATACAGTTATTCACAATTATTAAATAAAGCATTTGATTGTTTTTCTATGTTTTTACTATATACAGTATACTGAATTCAATAATAAAAATACAGTAGACCCCTATAAAACGGGTTCATATAAAATGGCAAAAAAAATTGCGATCGTATTCGTATAAACATGCTAAAAAAGACTCGTATAATACAATAAAACATCATTGCTGACTTGTGTCATGACAGGATTGGTTGAATCTAGACCAATAGCAGATATTACACAAACCATTGAGTTTAAACAAGCAGCGGACCTACTAAAAACCATTTATTATTTAACGGCCATAAAAATTTTTTTTTACCGTATTGCACTATTCACTAGTACACGGAAAACTGCTAGTTTTCCATTCATTTCTGACTTTTGGAGGCTTAATAAATCCCGAGTATGTAGACTGGTATAAAAATTAAGAAAGAGATAAACAGGTTAACATAAAGAAAAACACTTTTTATTTTAATAAATATACTTCACCCCAAATGCATTTTGCCTGCTAAGGCCTCCTCAGTAGGGTTTCTTACAACCAGAATGCACAACAGGAACAAAATCCGCAAACAACACATCTTTCTCAGTAGAAGATACAACAGAAGACGCTCTAACATCCATAAAAGACACATCTTTCTCACTAGTACCATCGCGTTTACAATCCTTAAATAACACTAACTCTTCCCAGCATTCCGCTGGCATCACTCCATTATTATATGGGCCATAAAAATTATATTTATATTAATGATGTCTCCAAACTTCAGCAAATTTTTCGCAGAAAAATAACTTATCAGGAAACACGTGCCTGCCGCTCCGTGACGAAAACAAGCTTAAGCAATGGCGTCGTCGAACAGCGCGCACTTGGTAAATAATCCTACAATTTTTTGTTTATAGCATAGTTTATATGGATTATTCCCAAAAAATTATACGTGTTTTGGAAATGTTGGGTCAAATTAGTCTAGGATCGATTAATTTTATGGAAGAAAACCTTTCAAACAGCCGTAGTCCCTAAACTGCATACGTGTTGGGCTATGATTGGCTCGTGTATTTAAGTGACTCGTACAACATGGAATTCATAAAACACAGAACGTATCTACCATGTTATTGGGGGGTCTACTGTATTATATTGTATATACATTAATAGTTAGATTTTTCTGGATACAGAATTAATTCTAATTAGTCACCACCTATGAAAATATGGACCTATATATATCAGTCTCAGATAAAACAAGATTTTACTGTATATAATTAATCTTTAACCTCAAAATTTATTTGCAATATAAAATAATTTAAAATATTAAAGCTATAATATACAAGATTTTATAAAGAGTTATATCTGCTTTAAAACTTAGAAATGTGTTTCAATATGTTCCTGTAGAGCATCATATATGAATCATATTTATTGTTGTATATGATTTTTCATATTGATATCTTTATTAAATATGAGAACTAAAATAAAGTATAGTTTACATAGTGTAATTTTTCATTTTGGACTGTATTCAGTAAGGCTTAAATGATGTGTTATGAATATTTGAATATTATAAAATATTAAATTAATGTTGGTTTTCTATAAAACTTCTGGAATGATTACTGTATATGCTGACTTTTTACATCTGAAAAAACTTTCGAAAACTAAGGTTTGATATAAAATGCCATCCTTTACCAAAGGATGGTAAACAAGTAAACAGTGCCCTTAACAATTTTTTGTTTCTTAAACTGGATTCTGTGGAACGATATAAGGGTTCTTTGAGTCAAAAATGCACAGTGGCAGGAGAGGAAATTTATTTACATGTGATACTTTAACATTAATCATTCAGCCACTAGTATGTGGACAGTCCATTGTTGCTCCACTCCCAAGTTTTTGAAAGACAAACTGCTGCTATTTCATTCTGTTTTTTGTTAAGGTACCAGAAATTGTAGCTCAGCTAGGTTCTGTAAGTTTTTTTTCACTATCTTTTTGTTACTATCAAAATTTTGTTTATATAAAATTAAAATTAATGCATTATTTTTATTTTTCTAATACATTAATGAGTAAAGCATAACTGGAAAAGTATGTCTAATGCATTCAGTACCTGATAATCTAAATATGCATAGATTTGAATTTTATAATGATAAAAATTAAAGTAAACTATTAAAAAATAAAAATCTATGCAATATTTTAAAATTTTGTTTTTTAGTTACTTATTTTTGTATTTAAACAATCTGGCACTGAAACTTCTTGAAGAATTAATATATTAATTATTACTTATTTTTTCCGGATCCGAATATATGAATTAAAAACTTAGTTTTACTTAACAATATGATAATAAATAACTAATATAGGATATATTTGTTGCAATCAAAAAGTTCCAGAACACCTAAAAACATTCCATTGAAATCAAAAGAGCTTCCAACTGTTATTTAGGCAATTGTCCTACCAAGTCACCAAATGACTGATATCTTCTCCATAGAATCCATAACTGCTGTTGGAACCATTACATTACTGCCTCCCCAACCCCTTTGATGTGAATCCTGTCCCTTCATTACTTTTTCATTTGGTCTAATGCATGCAAAATCACACCGATGACTGTCATAAGTTATCATGCAGGAGCACTACATCAATGAAGAGGCCTAAACATTTCAAATTTGATTGCTTTATGTAAGGCTTGGAGCAACTGGCAGTAACTTTCTACACTGATATTGGCTCTGGAAGAAATTCAGTTAAAAGTGGTCTCTGTTAGTTGAAAAAGAACACTAATAAAATATTTTGTTAGTTTTCTTGAAAGTTTTTTGATGGCCAATGATGGTTTCCACCTGGTTGTTAGTTCATAAAGGAAGTAGCATGATTCAATGCCTTTGACAAACCTGAACAAGAACTGCTCATCTTCTTTGTTTGTTCAACATTATCATCTTGATTGTTTAAAAACCAAGCCTAAAGATGTCACAATAGATGATGCAGAGACGCCCACAAATGCTAGTTTTTTTAGACCATCATGCAGAATATTCTGAACTTTTTGACTGCACTATATATCTACCATCAATGTACTGTACAGTATTAAAATGCAAATTATAATTTAAAACTAACCCTGTTAATTTTTTCTATTTTTAGGTATCGCCTGTTACTTGTTTTCAACCTAATATTAATAAGGCATCCAAACAGCTAATACAAAAACATAGTCAAGTATTTCCAACAGAACTTATTCTGCAACAAGTATGAATGTATTTGTAACCTTACTTTAATAATAAATTAACTTACTTTTTTGTAACCATTTAAATCTGAATAATACAATTTAATTTTTAAATTTATTAGAGACAGAAAGTAAGAATTATTCCAGTAACTGAAGCAACATACAGTTGGAAGAATAAAATTGGAGGATTTTTTGTATATGGATTTGAGAAGAAAGTCCATTTCCCACATTATCCACAAGCTTGCTGCTGTGGTTGTACTATTTTATAAATGTTGTATTTCATTTAATATAATAACAAACTAAATTTAATTAGTACAGTGGAACCTCTGTTAACGAACGCCCTGGTTATCAAACTTTTATTTTATTCTGATAACGGATGAAATTCGGATAACAAATGTAACGGTTTTTTGTATCAAATTTTAGTTGCTGTTAGGCATGAGTGAGTTAAGCATTGCTTTTCTGAGTGTTTGTGATAATGTTATTCAGGGATGCACAACCTTTTGTGAAGAAGGGCCAAATTAGGATTAAGTTTACTGACTGGGGGCCGGACCCCCAAGCGATTAATGCAATGGCTGAGATTGGATGCTGGCGGCAATCTTCTTTATGTCTGGTGTAATGGCAGATGTTGAAACAACCAGTAGATTTTTCAAATTCTCATTGGTTAACCTNGGGCCGCATAAACATTGATAAGGGGCCGTATGTGGCCCGCGGGCCGCAGGTTGTGCACCCCTGTGTTATTTAATCAATATGGTACCCAAGAGAGCGAAAAGTAATAGTAGCAATAGAAAATGACAATGCGATATGAACGACAAATGCGCTATTAAAAGAGTGAGACAATCAACTTTAGGTCAATTTCTTGTTCCTTACCAAAAGAGACCTGGACTCGAAGAATCTAATGATGAAGTGCTACCCATTATTTTTTTTGGAGGGAGATTCCCCTTCTAAGCAATAAGCTCTATACATCTTCACTCCTCTATCACTAACTACAACAAATGAAGGTATGTACAGTACAGTGCTATTTTATTAAATAAAGTTTACATGTTTGTTGCTGTAATGATAGAAACTACGTTTTCATCAAAGAAAATCCATTTTATAAATAAAATTTTAAAAATTTCAGAGGCTAGAATAAATCATATTTGCATTAATTTCTATGGGAAAAATTGCTTCGGTTAATGAACAGAGTCACGGAACAGATTAAGTTCGTTATCGAGGTTCCACTGTATTGGTTAAAATAAATATCTTTGCATTTTACCACTTTTAAAATTTATATATTTTATTTTAATCCATAAATTTATTTAATGTAACAATTCTCTAATTTTAATCATTCGTATCTTAAATATATCTAAAAATCTTTCTTAATTACTAACAAAAATACATTTTTTTTTATTTACTAATAATTATTTTTTTAGGTTTCAAAAAAGTATATACACAGCTACTTTAAGGAAATCAACAGTTAAAAAGGAGAAAAGTTTTCTGACCTTTATTTGAACAGTTTATGGTAAATTCAAAATGAACACAGGTGTGAACTGTCAGGGAGGTCGGGAACTGTCAACTCTCCCTTTTTGGCTACAGGTCGTTAAACCTGCTCACTTGTCAAGATGACTTAATTTCAAATGCGGTCTCGAAGGTTCGGGATTCTTTTTGTCAGGTCGAGTGGAGGAGGTGAGAAGGGTCGTCGACGAGGCGTAGGCGATATGCGAGTAAAAGGACACCATTTAACAATGGAAACGATTTATTATAAATAGATTAACGAAAAATAAAGATTACAAAATTCGCTAGCTCCTAACTCACGGAGAGAGAGTTTATAATTATTTGTTCCATACCTCTAGTAGATTTCAACGTTGGCACAGAGTTCGATGCACAAAGTAAAAATTCCTGGAGACTTAATCCTTTCAGACTGTAGATGTGAGACTCCCCCGAGGAGGGGGAAAGAAGTCGCTTTTATAGTTTCAGGCAGGGGGAATTAGTCAGGTGATCCCCTATTGTGTGAGGTAGAGTTGGTCCTGCAGGTGTGGAGGTTAAAGTTGTTCTCAGGACCAAAACAAAATGACAAATTCGGACTTTAACTATAAACTTTTTGTCTTGCAGCAGAGGAATGTCATTGTTCGAGGGTTGAATGTTATATTAACGATGAAAGTTATAAGTTTTTATCGATATTTGATTCTTTTTTCCGACAATGTTATTTTAATGAGGAGGCGACAAATTTATTTCAAATACGTCGAAAATCTAGGGGGGAAAATGAATAATTTTGGCCTTACTCTGAGGTCAGATCTCACAGGATACACTCAGTATTTCCAAAGAAGTTCCGGGTTACACTGCACTGCGTGTATCTTGAATTGTTTTAAACAATATTGTGAGCCAAAGTTGATCAAAAGAGAGGTCAAAAACATTCATCCTTTACTTAAAGTAGCTCTGTATATTCTTCTTAAAACTTATAAAATGACAGAAATACTAAACATTATGATGTTGAATATTTTAAATAAATAAAAACTTTTATATTATTTTTTACTGTATTTTTTCTGTCTAATTTGTTTCAATTAAGATATACAAATTTCATTTATTAATTTTAAGAAATGATTATGTAAAAATCTGAAATTTTATACTTTTAAATAAAATACATCCAAAATATATCATGGAATTAAAATAACAATAAAAAATACTTGTATTACAAGTACTTTTTATTTTTTGTAAATTTTGTTTATTTTTTTCTACAAGAATTATTTGAAAACATGATTTACAACTGTAATAAGGTTTTAATTTAAATAAAATTATTTTAAAAATAATGAATTACTTTTTGTTTTCTTCATATCCAACCAGTAGCAGAGTGGATAACACCACCTTATACTGTGATCATGGGTTTGTGCCCAAACAGGTTGGCCAAGTGGAGTTTTCTGGATTTTCTTCATGTCTAATGCCTAAATAGGTGCCAGTTTTCTGCAGAAAGCCATCCCAGGAGGCATTCCCTCTTGGCAGATTGCCCATGTGTTGCATTGCCTTATCAGTGGTGCCTCGTATAACGTACGCCTTGAACAACAGACTTTCTGTTTGGCCGTTATGTGACTCAAGCAACGGACTGACTGCGAACAACGGCCTTTCCGTTCGGCAGTTGCGTGAGGCGAACAAGTGCGAATGATGTTTCCACTCTTTTGCCGTTGCCAATGACAATCTGCTATTTTTATAATATATTAGTAGTATTAGAATATATTATTAGTATATCTGAAGTACAGAGCTCCTGTTGGGATTTGGCTTGCTCCCTTGTTTATTACGTACATCACCTCAGTGCAGGGTATTTACAAAGCAAGAAATCATCAGAAGGAGTGAAAGTTGACAAAAACTTCATTGTCAAATGGGGAAAGGTTCAACAGTTTACCAACACTCATTATCCAAACAGAGCTGAGGCCAACAGGATCAGTGATCTCTACGATGACACCCTTGCCCATCATTTCTGACAGGTATTGAAGAAGAGAGAGAAACAGACCACCTTGGACATGTTTTTCAAGAAGTCAGCTGCCAAAAAACAAAGGATGGAACAAGAGTTGACCCTGCAAGTTCCGGTAGCCTCTCCTGAATCTGACTCCGATTAAAAAACAATAAAAAGAGGCTGCAATGTGTAAAAAGTTGTATGAATGTATGAAGAAAGTGTTCCTCCACCTCCTCCTCACAACATCTGACTACCCGGCATAATTGGTGACTGCTCCATTTTCATTTTTTTATGGTACAGTACGGTTATTTTATGCTGCGGAATGAATTATATGTTTTAACATGTATTTCTATGGGAAAATGCATTTTGTTTAACGGACGTGCACCTGGAACGGATTAAGTACATTATGCGAGGCACCACTGTATTGAGATGTAATGGGTACTAAACAATACTTTTACCTTCCATAAAACCCATTGCTCCTCCATATTAGATTAAAAATTATCACACATTCTCTGCAGTCTTCCTTGGATGTCTACTTTCTATCTTATGTCATCTTAACTCTGAATTTTATTTTATTGTAATGTTGAATGTTTGCAGAAAATTTCCACCCATAAATACTTAGAGTATTAACCACAAATTTGTAGATTCTAAAGCACAAACAGAGTTTTACAGAAGTTTATATTGATGTAATAATTAAAACTCTCAAGATCTTTTGATCTGATGCAATTTGGCTGAACTATATCACATTGAAAAATATCCTTGAAATTTTCTTTTCCAAGGATATTTTTCAAAGGCACTTTTTATTTTCCTTGCTGTTATGTAATAAAACTCAACTTTACCCTCATAATTAAGCATTTTGTCATTTTATAATAAACTCTAACAACAGATGACACCAAACACAAATTTTATTCATTAAAATTAAAAATATAAAAATTATTTTTTAAACAAAACCTTATAGTAGCCTAAGAGATATCTGTATACTTATTTTGCTTGTTTTTTTGTGAATTAAACGTTCACAGTTTATCAATGTAGCTGTACACGAATCTGACGAAATTGATTCAGAATGCTGATGTTACAGGAAATTATCTTCTGCTATTTAACTTTGCAATATCCCAAACCACTCGCTTTGTCATTTGTTATTCAACTAGATTTGTTAATATCCTTAATAAATAATTACTACTACTAACTTTAAACTGTTACAAATTATAAAACAATTATATTTTATTTAGTACGTTGTCCTGCCCCTGCTAAGATGACAACCATTATTGCTAATTTGTTCACGCAAAAAAATTAAATTTTTATCATAGCACACAGCTCCATATTCTAATCCCTAAACCAAAAATTAAATTAGCTTCTTCAAAATATATTCAATATTATAGATATTAAAATACATTGAAAATTAAAAACATTATTAATCAAAAAGTAGATTATATATGACTAAAAATAGTTTGAAATGCTTAACAAAGTTAGAATTTTAAAAAATTTAATAAAAATTTTTAATATTTTTTTTACTTTTGTGACTACTAACAACAATTAAAATAGCATTTAATATAAACTGACATTTCTCCTCTCCACAATCTAAACTTGTAATTACGTTATACTCATGTAACTGTGTTAAATATTTTGGATATATTTATTGTATTCTCATCTCAAAGAATAAATAGAAAAATTCTGAATATTGCATAAAATTTATATATGTATATTTAAATATTTTTAAAAATTTTATCCTACTAGGTTTTATCTTTGAAAAATCTGAATTTAAGTATGCGAGATCAAAAATTAAAATATCTTGTTGATTAATATTTAAATTAAAATATGTTTATAAATTTTATTTTTCAAAGTACTGTACATTATTTGCTAAAAAATAAAATATAAATAAGCTATTTTTGTAACAGCAATAAGAGATCTTAATGGATTAATTTTTTCATCTATTTACAAAGTTTAGGGATTTAAGTATTAGAGAAAAAAAATATAATAAATGCTTATATATTATACATGTAGTTTGTTTTTCAAGCTTTAATAAATTAACCTCTGATTAATTCGTCGTCACTTTCTTCGAAATCATCTCGATCTACAAGTCCTGCTATGGACGATTTTCTCCTTTGGATGATGGCAACAAAGAATCCAATCAGTGACATCTAATAACACAATAAAACAAATAATTAACTTCCACCATTATATAATGAGTAAAAATATTGAGTTTCTCAAATTAATTTTAAATTGCTGTTAATCAAGATTTTGACTTGTTCACATAGACTGACTGACAAGTCAGAAATTATCTGATTATTTTTACTATCAGTGAATTTTATATTAACAATATTCATCTGTATAAAAAACACATTAAATGAAAAGAGAATTAATTTAAATTTTACAATAATTTGATTAATTGATCAATGAAAATACCAGTATGTTATAGGCTGTGAGTGACCAAAACTGCAAAAGAGAGAGTCAGACACCCAAAATGGTGTCAGTCGGCACAAGTGATCTTATAATATCTTATACTTAAAGTGTAAAATATTATAAGACTTTGACCCAAGATTCAAACCCATATTCCTATACTGACAGGCTAAAAAGTTTATCATGCAGACTTCTACTCAATTTTTATAACTATTTTTGTTTATTTTATGATACAAATAATACAACTCAAATATAAATAAAACAGAAATGTTAAATAACATTTCTGTTTTCTTTAATCAATATTAACAATTAATGAAAATGAATATTTTAAAAATTTTCAAATTTGAGAAAAAACTTATTTATATTCATTAATTATTAATTTATTATAAAATATTTCAGATTAAAAAAATTATAAAGGAAATGTAATTAAATAAATGAAATATTAAGATCTACAAAGTATTTCTTACCAATAAAAATGCCCAACTTGACCAATAATAGATAACTCCAAAGAACCAAGCTCTATAGATAAATTCAAACAGCAAGTAACTCACTCTAGTCATTACACACTCATCTGAAAATGAATATAACATTTGTAATAAAATCTTGAATAATACAATGTACATCAAAAATAAAAACTTACAATATAAATTTTATTTCTGATCTATTGAACAAGAATCATTCAATCTCTTTGATAGAAAATTATAACATTAAAAAAGTAATAATAATAATTCTAATGCATTTCAATAACTCATAACAAACATATATGTGAACAAGTCAAAATCTCGATTAACAGATTAAAATTATCTGATTATTTTTTACCATCTGTTAAATACTCAATATATTACAATTTTATATTAACAATATACAACTGTATAAAAAAAGACATTAAATTTAATACAATCTTTAACTGTTTGTTATGAGTTTATACTGACACAAAAATACTTCAGGTACATAAAAATTAGTAAAACTAAATGAAAATATTTATAATATTGATTACTTCTTTAAATGAAAGGTCAATCATTTAGTTAAAATTCACAAAAAATATTAAATGTAAAAACAAGTTCCTTCTACAGACAAATTTTTGAAATTTTCACTTTGGCAATATATTTTACAAATATTTTTTTATGATTTTTGTTTTGTAGGGCAGTCTTCCTCATTTTCTCATTATGATAAATGATTTAAACAATGATCTAACTATTCACAAATTGATTTTGATTTATTTTCTTCAGATTATAAACTAACTAATTTAAAAAAATTATAATATTTTTGCCAATTGCCAATGAAACCTTTCTTTATCAATAATAATTTATCTATTACACATCAATCTCATTAATGGCTTGAACATTACTTTTTTTTTACTTTAAATATATTGTTAGTTTACAGTATGTTAAAAATATCGTTATTAAGGAAATTTTTAATGATGCCATCATTTTAATTTTTTCTAATTTACATTTTTCTTTACATTTTTGTTACTTTTCCAAAGCTTTATACATTATTCTTGGTTTAATCAAAATATAATGCATAATGCATCAATGTATCAAAATTTAAAGTTTTAATAAAAAATTTTTAAAAATCTCATGCTATTTATCTCATAAGGAAATTGTTCATTTTCATTTGTATTTTTTATTGTAATAAACAAAATAATGTATTTCAATTGTATTTTATGCATTATATGCCTCATTCAATAGATTGAAGACAACAGTAAAAAATCCTAAAATGTTACTCTAAAAATTATAGACAACTTTTTACAGTAATNAAAATATTTTTAAAATAATTTTTTAATATATTTCCAATAATAATGATTTAGTTTCAAATTCTTCATAAGGTTATAGTTGAGATTGTCTTATTATATGAGAGATTTAACTTTATTGTATAATTTTAAAACATTGACATATTTAGGGATGTAGACATATGAGACAGCAAGGGGTAACATTTCCCACACTAATTGCTCTGTTCTTCACTCTCTGCCAGCTCCTACTGCTACCCCACTTCAGTTGAAAAGTAAACAATGAAAAAAAATCACAAACAGTTCACCAGTGGATTAAACAGGCACATCAAACTCAAATATTAGGTTATATGAACAGCAACAAAGTAAAGAAGAATAAAATTTAATACTAGTTCTTGTCCAGCCATTGATTTTTTTTATTGAGCATTGTCATGTGTATCACTGGTTTTCATAAGATTTAAAAGGAGCTCCCATATTGATATTTCAGTTTCTTGCAATAATTTGTTGCTAGTGATCTTGGGCTATTGTATTTTTATGATAGCCTCTCTACTTATACTTACATTAAGTCTATGTAAGCCATCAATGATGCAGGTGACTCACACTCAAATTTCTGGTTATTCCTGCATATTGAAATTATCATTTGTTAGTTCTTCTATTTGTATTTATGTTATCAATAGAAGAATGGTTTTATTTGTAGTTACAAATGTATTTTTAACATATGATTTGATACATAATGATGCAATACAACTTCTGTTATTTTAATATGGAAATTAATTTTAAGACTTGTTTTCGGGAATTTTAATGTGCAATTCAAGTTTATATATATATATATATACACACATACCACATAGTGTTGACTACCATACAACATATATTGTGGACTGATATTGAAGAGCAATACATTTATGCCAAGTACAGTGTACATTAATGTAAGACAAAGCATCAATAAACCTTGTGGACGTGTTCGTTTCACTCTAATTGTGTACATCTGTAAAAATTAAAAATTGAAAATCATCATATTGAAAGGCATTATATTATTTATAAATGTACTGTACAAGGTGTGACAGTTTAATTTCTGGAATGCACCTTTAAAAAATATACATGTGTAACTGTACACTAGTGGTACTATATTATCACCTTCAAAGTATATATGCACAAGACTCTCCTTGTACATCAGTACACTGACTTAGACAGCATTCCATTTCTGGAAACAGGCCTAGAACTCATTTTCTGGAATACTGTTGAGTACCTTACATTCTATTGGACATATGTTATAAAGTCGATTCCATTTAATTGGGCCACCGGTTAATTGGGGCAGCAGTTTTATTGGGTCAAATCTCAAAGAACAGAAACCAAACTAATAAATTAATATATAATTTAATCACTTAATTGGGACAGTAGCAGAAAAGGAATTTAGCAATTTTGTAGATGCTACATACACTAATGTCGTGTAGGCCTAACGGCTGACAGAGACAAAGTGATTTTGTCTTTTGCTCAGGCAGTTTGGTTTTTCTGGAGGGGGTCAGCATAACGGAGCATATCATACAGGATCCCATTTAAGGTGGATCTGAATGCAAGCTACTGACCCTGCTCAGGATTGGACCAGATGATCCAATCCCCTTAAAAGTAAAGGGACAAAGATCCCCAGACAATTTTTCAAGGTCTCTCGACTGAGTTAGAAGACAGAAGACAGCTAGAGTTCCCTTGGAAAGTATTATGTGCATAATTACGTCTAGATTAGGACAGCAGCCTAAACAGTGATCATTGAGACCAGCATCTGGAGCTGGCTCCCACCAAAGTTGCCCATCTCCAAGTAAAGCAAACTGTGCTCAAAGACCATAAAATGACTTTTGGACGAACCCCTTCCTTTCTCCCTTTTTAGTTAGAACATGTTCTAACTAAAAAGGGAGAAAGGAAAAAATCATTCAATCAGGAACAAATCGAATGGTCAACCCTTGTGTACGTCACTACTAATACTGCATTTGGCAACACTAGCGTGATGCAAATCAGTTATCTATCGTCGTGAGTCTGGCAAATTTATATTATAAATATTTTCTGTAGTTTGGTTTAATAAAGCATTAAGATAGGTACCTAATTATTATTTTTTTACCTACATATTTTATTTTAGAATTTATTATTAGTTTGTTTAATTGGAACAGCCACTTAATTGGACCTAAATGGATTAGTCCCTATGTGTTCCAATTAAGTGGAATCGACTGTATTAGAAAATTTTCATCCTTTCAGTGCAACTTTTAAATTTTGGAAATAGCTAAAAATCACAGGCAAATAGGCAGGATGATCGAATTGGCAAATTACTTTTTTGGTCAGAAAGTCTCACTGTAAATGCACTGGGACTTGATATTTTATCAACGTTGCCAAAGTGCACATGCTCTATTACCTTCCCAACAGCTAACTAACAACTGGCTCTATCAGCTTTCAATTTACACACCTATTAGTTCAAACATTAGGTTAATTATTTTTATTTAAGTACACAGCACTTTTTTAAAGTATACTTATCATCCAGGCCATTTTATTATATTTTTATAATTGTGCCATCACCAGAGGAAAGATTTTAACATGTTTTCCGTATCTGTAAGACTGTTATGTTCCAAAGATGTAAAAAAAATAATGAAATATGAAGAAATCTTTCATTTATTTTAGGTGTTTCTTCTAATATTTGTACATATTTTAAATTCTCATAAATTTGAAAAAAATTAATTTTTGAAGAGTTAGTATTAATATTAAATATTAGTTTGTTTGTGTTAATTATTATGAAAACAAAGGATCCAAAAATGTTAACTTTTAAAATCAAATGTACATTTTTCTTGTTAACTATATGTTTATAAAAAGAAAAATATAAGCTATTATTTCTTGGAGTAGCAGTGATTTTCTGCACCTACTAGTTTTTTGTGGGCATTTTTTGCCAAATTGAATTATTTAACTGTGCTTCCATGATATCCTCATGCTATACAATATCCAACCATGTAAAAATTTTGTTCAGAAGAAATTTTTTTCACTTATCAAAAGGCCGTCAAAAAATTGCAGCCCTTCCAAATGCAATCATGTACAATTTTTCTTTATTGTCACACAGTTGCATGCTAAAATGGAAATTTTCCACTCTGACATAATTTTTGGTGACCTGATGTCATCAAAAAATGGTGTCATGGAGTCTCTTGTGATTGCCACCAAGAGATGGGGACATCATGAATGTTTGTCACAAAAACATTCATGACATCATGAATGTTTGTCAGCTTTGCATAATGGCAAGAATAATCTACAAGCTGTATATAACCTTGAACATTTGTCTCCGTAAGATAGCCTTGTGTAATATGACCAATAATTTAAATGCTTTCACCAGTGTATTTTATGCCCAAAAAATACAGAAAAATTATTTTCTGGTCTTTCTGAGAAACACCTCAACCCTCCTGTCATTTATTTCCATTTGAACTCATTTTTTCACTAGCCCATACTATCACAAAGTTTAAAGGGGTCCTTGTGGGAGCCGAGTTAAGGACACTGTTCTATAAACAAAATAATATTTTGTAAATTAAAAAATGTATGATGTTAAAATTTTGCATGTGCAGAGAAGATACATTACAGGATTTTTCAGAATTATCAAATATGAGAAACAGCAATTACATCTGGCATAATTAGGCATGAAAAATAAACAAAAAATGGCCACCTTACATATGCCACCCTTTAAAAAAAAAAAAAACTACATGTGATTAGGTTACTGATATAATAATATCTCTGTTACTAATAATATCTCTGTTACTGACAGACAGGGAAGATTCTTGAAATACTTTGCTTCCTATATGATGATAAAAAGAATTTGTTTTTATGATAATTAGTATTATTTAATGATATGCATACAACTAAAATAAAAATATTAAATATTTTTACACATTAAAGTCACTCTGGATATAAATATCACAACAATTTTCCTTATTAAAATATTTATTTTCTTACCTTCACACAGAAGAACCATAATCCTAACTTTTGAATGCCAGATATAGTTATAATAATCAAAAATAAAGTTATAGCAGCAAAAATTATGTAGTCAATTGGAAAAACCTGAAATAAAATAGAAATAAATAGCGTGTAATAAGTATTATTTCAAATTTTTTATATTGTAATATATTTAAAAACTCATTAATGAAAAAATAATTTAATTTTATGTTAATGATTTTTTCTCTCTTGAGGTTTGACATTAAAATGTCTTTTAAAGGACAGACATATCAGAAAATTTATTATAAAAATTTTGGTACGATTCTTCAATCAATTTAATTAAAATTTGCATTTTTTTGTTAACTACAAAACATCAATAAATAAATTTCAATAATAAGAAATGGGAAACATTTAACACAAAGTGATATCTATATTCTTTACTCTAAAAACTATTCATATTGACATTTTGACTAATGTGATCAAGAATAATTTCTAAATTCTTGTATTTTAGAAAATCCTGTATGGAACAGTCTACATAATTTCTAATCATTAGAAAAAGATCTCTACAATCTACTTTAAAGTATAAGAAATATCAATACGTTAACTGATAGTGCCAACCTTATTCTGAAATTTCATACTAATCTAAAAGTCAGAATTATTGTTTTTAAGAAATGACACAAAAAAATCAAATGCAAAAATATCTGATTAATGATAGTTTAATTTATTCTAACTTACAGCCATAAATTGAATTTTGAATATTGAACAATATTCTTTTGTTTTTGTACAGATATATTATACATAATTTTCCTTACCTTCTGGCTTTGTACAAGGACAAAATCCACAGGGTTAGGTATAGATGGTTCAGACAGCATATATCCAATTTTAAATCCCATCGAATGTATAAGTTTATCAATGCTAAAATAAATAAATATAATATTCTTTATTAAATGAAAATTTAAAATATATAATATCACTGTTTTAAAACAACTTATATTTTCAATATTTAATTATTTCACTCCTTTATTCAATAACAGATATAAATATTAGATTCAAAACATCAAATATCATTTTTTGTTTAATTAACACATTCAGTTAGAATTCTATATCAATTAAATTATATTTAATTATTATTAATTATCAAGTTTAACTAATTTAATTAAACTTTTGTAATACCTGAAAACAATTTATCAATCATCAGATAGTATTTATGCAACTAATACAACCAATCAAAATTAGCTAGTTGTTTGTTTTTGGTACAAAAACACTACAGAGACATACTGTATGCAAATTTGAAGAAAAAACAGGGCTAAAAATACAGAATTTTCTGACAAAAAAATAAGAAATAAGATTTTAAAATACAATATTAAAACAAAATATCAAATTAATAACAAAACTAAATATCAATAGTCATTGATATTTCATTTTTTTAACATTGCATTTATCTCTGATTTCATACATCTAATTTTTCCTATACTTTGTCTTAATTCTTCCATTCAGAAATAATTTTATCAATGAAACTGTTTTCCGTATCTTAGAAAAAAGTGAGCATTTAATAGCATTCTCATTGAGAGACAACTGCTCAAAGTCTTTTAAAAATTGATGGCCTAAAGAGTTGTATTAATTCCACTTTTTTCAAATACAGAATATTTGCCACATCACTCAGTACAATTTCTTTTAAAACTTTTTCATTGCATTCTGCACATTCTGATTTAGTGATATAATAATGTTACATGATTTGTCATGCAAAATATGAATTAAGGTTTCTTTTGACCAAAAAATTCAGTGTCTTTGAAAACTAAGTATGGACAATTCAAAATTCAGAAACACAAATATGTGTACTTGTTAAGCAACTTCTAATTTGCTTTTATTTTGACTGTATTAAAACTCTAGAGTGTTAATAATTTTACGTAAGAAACTAATAAACTATTCTTTTAGGACATTATATTCAATTGTTCTTTGTATAACAAGTTGTAACATCAACCACCTGTTACTGACATGACATGACAAATTTTCATTTGACGCTCTATGCACATTATTCTTGGTGAATACAAAGATCATAATATATGCACAGGGCTTAATTTAAAAAAGAGAAACAAATCAATCAAAAAGTCCTCAATAACAAACTCTAAAAGTGTTTGAGAGATTTCAAGTTTGATATTGAATTTTGAAATTATATAAGCTACATTTAATTTCTAATTTTTTCTAAAATTAATCTACACACCAAAGTAGATCTTGATATTTAGGAAGCAAATTCTTTTCATCCTTACACTTTGATTTGCTTCAAATGAAAATTAATTTAATAAGTATTTAACTTTTTTATTAGAAATTTAAATACTTTTTCACAGTCATCAAGTAATAATAAGGATCAATTAAGTATTTCTTATAATATAATCAACATCTTTTCTAAATTTCATGGTTTGTACCAGCATAAGATTATCATACACAATTATTAGCAGCATTTAATATTTGTATTTCATCTCATTAATTTATGTAAAAATAAAAATATAGAAAGTGAGATGTAAATGTTAAAATGCTATATAAAAATATTAATAATTTTTGTGAAAACTTTATTCTTTAAATTAAATTATTATTATTAGAAGACAATCACTAAGAATTTTTAAGCCTTACTTTGTTAGTAGTAAAGAAAGCCAAATCAAAAATCCAAGAGATGCTCCTAATATCCCAAAAACAATTTGAAGAGGTCGAATAAGAAATCTGAATTTATAAGTCCAACTATGTCTTTCTTCATCTAAATGTCTTTCCTGGCGCTCAATTAAGTGCTGAGTTTCTTCTAATTCTGACAGTGTTGAAGATTCTCTTGAAGACAACTTCTTCTGAGATCTCTATATAAATTTATAATAAATGTATGTTAATTTTCCAAAAATTAGCTTTTAACAACATTAAAACAAATTTATTATTAAAATGAATTAATTTATGATAGTTTGTGTAATAAAAAACTCTGTTTATATAAATATTACACAAATATTTCTCAATTTATGACAGGATTCTGTTCCACAACTTTGGCAATAAGCTGAATGTTATACAGGAAAGCCTCGTTAATTCAAAAGTCAAGGGACGAAATAATCACAACTTCAAATTATTGAGTTTCAAATTATCCGAGATACATATTTCAGTACAATATGCCAAATGCCATATGGGCCTAACTGATGTAACTTATTAAGCAAACAGAATATGGTTAGGTATACAGAACATTATATTCGTTAATTAATTGTTAATAATAATAATAATATATCAAGTTGATTCAAAAGTTTCTGAACACAGACACACGATACAAAACTTTATTGATAATAAAACACAAAGACATGGTCGTTCCTCAAAATAAAAACCATGTTATATCCAGCTATGATCTCGACCCATCTTTCTGCAAGTTGGTAGATTCCTCAACAATACCACTCTGCTGAGGAATCTACCAACTTACAGGAAAACAAAAAAAATTTAATTTACGTAGATAAAAATAAACTCTGAAGTTTAGTTATGTATTCACTATATGCATAAACACTGTATAAATTTTAAAATAAAAATTTTGCTATTTTTATTTTAAATTTGCATTTTTTAAAAGTGTGATTTCCAAATATCATTTAACAAAATTTACATAAATTGGATATTTCTTTCATACGTTCTGTTTTATTTCATATAAACTGATAAATTTTAAATTACTACAGTAGAGCCTTGATTATCCAACTCAATTGGGGACTGGGGTTGGTCGGATAATTGAAAAGTCAGATAACCGAAAAGTATGAAAAAATCCATTATTAGTGTAGTATATTATTATATCCCATGTAATTAGTATATTGCTATTAACCTACTTCGCTTTGAATTTTCATCGATGTTAAGCCTAACAAAAATTTTTTTAAATAATAATCGTCGCTATTGTATCATTAAAAATTAGAAAATTAAGCCTCGTTTAAATACTGGCTCCCTTTCATCGTCGAATGAATGTTGCCAGCTAAAACACGTAAAAATAATATTAAAGTTGCCAAGACATAGCCAAATATTGTAGCGCCACATCACTAGCAGACATTTGAAATTTGCCGACTAGGACGGTCGGTTAACCGAGGTGTCGGTTAAGGCTCTACTGTATTAATCATTGCTTATTTCATTTTATTTTAAATAAATAAAATTTACCTTTTTCCTTAAGAAAGCTATTTCATTTTCAGTATTCCTTCTTTCTTCTATGACAGCTTCATGCTCTTTTATGACATTTCTTGATCCTTTAATCATATCAATAGGCCAAGTTGGCAAACCAATTCCCTATTACAGATAACATATTAATATATTCACTTTTACAAAAAATTTTATTTTCTTTTTACTATATTATTAACAATAAAAAAAATTAAAAATTAATTTTAATAAGTGTTTTTGAAATAATATATCATCATCACATCCAAAAATTTTTGTTTACTTTCAAATGCAATTCAAAATTAAAAGTAAAAAAAGATGCCATTATTATTTAATAAGTTATTTAAATTTTAAAAAAAATCATTGTTATTCAAAAATAAATTTTGAATAATCACTATACTTACCGTATATATAATTAATGTAACTGTCCCTATTGAAGTAAGAATATTCAAGATAAATGAAATCGATTGTTCACCTCCTAAAAATAAAATAAATCATCTTAAAAAATAGTACAAATTCATAAAAATGTTATTAAAATAAAATAATGATGAATAATATGAAAAGATTTTTAAATTTTGTTTTATATTTTCTAGAAAATCAGATACAATGCTATTCATACTTAAAATCTTACGTGAATACTGGAAAGCATATAAATTAACACTCCAAAACCTTTAAACGTCCAGTAGTAAACGATTTAATAGTGATTTGGTGTATTTATATATATAATTGTATGTATTACATACGCCATTCCGTCGCCATGGCAATGCACATGCGTAATTGTATTCTTTTAAAATCCGTTTGTGCTGTTCCATTTTTCAAAATAATTTCATAATCATTGTTCTACGCTTGCACTGGTTCAAATCTAACTGGTTTTTAAACCTGATGAAGACCGAAAGTACGGTTGAAAACGTTTGTTTACTATTAAATCATTTACTACTGGACGTTTAAAGGTTTTGGAGTGTTAATTTACAATGCTATTCATAGCATGTACTTTTCACTTTACATTCTAAATATGAAAATGTAATATTGTTTTTATGCAATAAAATTGCTTTCTCTTCTCTTCAAATATACAATGACATTTTATGATGAAAATAACTGGATACTTAGCTGTTTGTTTTGTATACATACAGTACAAGTATCCCTCATACAACACGGTACTTCTACAACATGATTTCACTTTAATATGGTTTGAAAATCAGGGATATCCCCTTATAACACAACTTTCGGTTTTGCTCTAACATGGTTTTGAAAATCCTTTGTACAGAATTTCACAATTTTTAAGTATAAACTTCTTTATTTGATATATATTTTTTTTTTATTCAAGTAAGCATGCATGTCATCTCAAATTTGTTCACAAATTTTAGAATATTGAAATTTTCAATTTGTTTTGTGCTTTGTCAGGTTTACTTTAATGAAAACTGATAGGACTAGAAAGAAAAAAAATCGCAATAACTTTCCTATCAATGTATCATCACGTAGCATCACCGTTGCTTTCAAACTTTAGTCCTTTATACTGTCATTCACTGTTTTGTTTTTATAGATTAATCTTCGTATTTAGTAAAGTTTATTTATATATTTTTAGGTAAGTGTTATTAAACTTTTTTTTAACCATAAGTAAGTAATCATTCATGAAAATAACAAACAAAATACAGTGGTATCTCAAACTGTTCCCAACTGGAACAATTAGGTATTTGAGAACAAATTCTGGAAAAAAAGTCACTCTGTACTTGACTGAACAAATGCGACCCACTAGAACAAATTATTGATTAATACCATATTTTTATTTTGTCATCCATAGAAAATTATGATAAAAAATATTAAAAAATGAAGACNATTTCACAATTTTTAAGTATAAACTTCTTTATTTGATATATATTTTTTTTTTATTCAAGTAAGCATGCATGTCATCTCAAATTTGTTCACAAATTTTAGAATATTGAAATTTTCAATTTGTTTTGTGCTTTGTCAGGTTTACTTTAATGAAAACTGACAGGACTAGAGAGAAAAAAATTTGCACTAACTTTCCTATCAATGTATCATCACGTAGCATCGTCATTGCTTTCAAACTTTAGTCCTTAAGACTGTCATTCACTGTTTTGTTTTTATAGATTAATCTTCGTATTTAGTAAAGTTTATTTATATATTTTTAGGTACGTGTTATTAAACTTTTTTTTAACCATAAGTAAGTAATCATTCATGAAAATGACAAACAAAATACAGTGGTATCTCAAACTGTTCTCAGCTGGAAGAATTAGGTATTTGAGCACAAATTCTAAAAAAAAATCACTCTGCACTTGACTAAACAAATGCGACCCACTAGAACAAATTATCGATTAATACCATATTTTTATTTTGTCATCCATAGAAAATTATGATAAAAAATATAAAAAAATGAAGACGTTGCCAATATTTCTGATCAAGTTCAACAAAATAGTTCAGATGATAACGATACTTTTAAAAATGCCCTCGTTTAACTAAAATTAACGTTAACAGTACTTTTAACTGTGCTTGTTAGTCAATTATTGATTGGAAATAAAGCATTGATTGCTTTAATAAACATATTTCTCTTAGTAATGAAAAAGAATAGTATACTTTTGTTAACTTCTGAAACATAACCCTATATTTTGTATTTGTCCTTTGTTTCTTATAGCATAGATTCGCATAACAAGGCACTTTTTTGGAGCATATCTACCGTGTTATACGAGGACACCTATATTTGCATAGATGTGTTTACATTAAAAATAAATGCAAAAACATTAACGTCTACTGTGTCAAAGTATTCTCAGCCAATCCTTTGATGTATAAAGNTAGCCGTTACCAACACAGAAGTATTATAAAACAAAACACATTTCTCATCTAGTAGAAATTTTTTAGCTTTTAGTTTTAAAATATTACAGCCCATGTCTTTACATTCGTATAAATGGTATACAACTAGTTCATTTTGTTTGGAAAATATTTCTAAACATGCATAGCATAGATTCGCATAACAAGGCACTTTTTTGGAGCATATCTACCGTGTTATACGAGGACACCCATATTTGCATAGATGTGTTTACATTAAAAATAAATGCAAAAACATTAACGTCTACTGTGTCAAAGTATTCTCAGCCAATCCTTTGATGTATAAAGCACTTAAATGGTGACATCTTTTGTCCACAGTAGAAAACAAAACCAACATGTACGGATCTCTTATCTTTCGATAACATTTGCAAAACAACATTATTATTAAAACCAGCAGTTGCAACATTTTCTGACCCTTGGCAGCTCATTTTCCAAAGTCTTACTTCCCATTTCCACTACATTTTATTTCACATGTTCTTCAAACAGTGAAGACTTGGTCAATTATACAGCACTATACAATTACATGTAAAACAATTTTTTTTTTTGTTTTAAATTGAAAAGCATTGGAGGAAGAACACAGAAAAATATGATAAAAATATAAGTTTATTTTTATTGTTGAGTGTCATGATGTTGCCAAAGGTCTCAATGCAGAATCTGAATATTCTTGTAGTACATTTACAGTTACTAATTTTTTCGTGTACCTCTGAACCATCATGCACACATTGCCAATTAGAAATCACTGATTAAAACAATAGNTTAAATTCCATATTTCAAAATTTTCTTAAGATGTATAACACCTTTGATTCTCTGTATATATGTATATATATAAAAATTCTCATTAAAATGATGTTTTATATTAAAATTATTATATGATTAAATGACCAACAACAATAACAACACCAGGATGAATCGTACTCCTAGAACCTATTTCCAGTGTGACGAAAAAAACAACTTTTCGCCACACTGGAAATAGGTTCTAGGAGTACGATTCATCCTGGTGTTGTTATTGTTGTTGGTCATTTAATCATAAAATAATTTTAATATAAAACATCATTTTAATGAGAATTTTTATATATATACATATATACAGAGAATCAAAGGTGTTATACATCTTAAGAAAATTTTGAAATATGGAATTTAAAGTCTCTTATATCCATAAAGTTTATTTTTTAATAAAAATATTAGTTTAAACTAAAATTATTCCATTATTAGTTAAGAAATCCTTTATTCTTTTTTCATTAAAAATTCAATAATGCCATTATTTATTTGCCATATATAATAATTTATTCATGCCATAATTAAATTTAAAATTTTTCTTTCGTATACTAAAAATATTTTCATGAAACAATACCAAACAATTGCCTAAATAATCAGGCTATAGAGCTAGTGGAACTGAGTTGAGTGCCACCTGTACACAGGCAAAGAAAACTGTTTGGGAAAACATGTGCGTCTTTGAGTTAGATACGTAGTGAAACACGGTGCTTGTTTTCTTTCTGTATAATGAACCACAGCTTTCTGCAACACAAAACTTCAAAAAATAACTTATGTGGTCGGTTGTAGTGTTACATATATTACTGCACCACCAGGTACAAAGTTTTATTCATTTCCAAATGAATAATACCCTGGAAGGAAAGAGAAATGGCTGGCTTCAATTCGGCAGATTGAGTAAGTATTATGCTTGGATATTTTCATTCAAAGTATTTTTTAAAGTTGTGTACATGTATATATAACTGACATTTAAAGGCATTGTATTGTAATGATCTCTGTAAATGGCTAGGGTGCCTTTTTTTTTGCAGTAAATAGGTGTAGTCCACTTTATATTACTACCCATTGTTTACGTAGTGCATTGAGTAATAACTCATTAAAAATACCAAACATTTCGTATTTCTGTAAATCTAAAATCCTGATAATAAATAACAAAACTTAAACCTGCTTAAACCTGGACCTTGCATGTGTGAATATTTAATAAACAGTTAAATTTGCTCAAATTTTTGGGAACAAAGTTTTATTTTCATAAAATTCTCTCTCACACTAAATGTCAGTGGTTAAGAGAAATTCAATAAATAATGACAGGTGCAGTATCTACTAGTTTCATCTTAACAAAAATATGCAAGGCATTAAAATTTATTTGTTGCTATCACTGATAAATAATGTAAAAAGTAAAACTGTTCCAACTTGGAAACAAACTCAGATTGAAAATCTCTATCTTTGTGAACTTCTATCTTTATAGACTGTACACTAGAATAAATATACAAAATACAATATTTAGCCTGAACAATGTACAAAGAAAACTGTATTTGTGAATAATAAGAGTGGGCTGTCTTTAACCTTTACTGTGTCACCTTCAAATTCTAAATAGTTCACATTGCATGTTTTATCTTCATAATTCACAATTGATTTATCCTTACAAGAAAAAGGGCACTTAATTTCTAACAATATAAACTCAGACCCAATGTTAATCAATCCATCAGGACTATAGCATAGCCATGGCTGTCTTACATTCACAATCAGACCAGATTTTCTTACAGAAAAATTGTAAGCCTTAGAAAACTCTTCTAAGGCCAGTGGTTCATTACTGATCCCATACTTCATTGACACAGTAGGTTTGAATTTACCAAAGGCCAAGTTACAAACCAAACTGTTGTAGTGGTCTCATCTTGTTTTGATGTGGTGTGCAATAGAAGCATATAACCGTTTTTTTCTTTCAGAAAACCATTCTGTGCATTCTGACAGATTAACAGTTTTCACACAAATATCAGCAGCCTCATTAGCCGTTACCAACACAGAAGTATTATAAAACAAAACACAATTCTCATCTAGTAGAAATTTTTTAGCTTTTAGTTTTAAAATATTACAGCCCATGTCTTTACATTCGTATGAATGGTATACAACTAGTTCATTTTGTTTGGAAAATATTTCTAAACATGCTTCAACTACTTCACTAGCAGCAAACAAGTTTATCCACTATCTAAAATAACACACAAGAGATCCCGACATACTCTCCTTGTTTCGTCTTGATCCTTCTTTTTTAACATTAAAGTTAAAGCATTATCTGGAAAATTCCTGAATGCCCCTAAAAAATGCAAAGGTGGATTTTTACTTGTGTCTGGGCAAACAAGCACTTCACCAAACAGCTGAGCTAAGGTGTGGCCTTTTTTTTACTTTTGTTGTAGGGCTGTACTTGACTTACCCCATTCCTGGGGTTCATTGGTCCTGCTTTCACTACTTTCTTCATTTATAGCAAAAATCAGTGCAGCTTTGTGCTTACACTGACCCATTCCAGCTTGACATTGGCAGTGGCTATCAACTATTTTCCTTTCCTTGTTTAACTGAAAAAGTAAAAAATACAAGCTAAATTAAAATTATAATGCTTATTAATATTTCTAGAAAGATTAAATACAGTTAGAACTTTTTAAGCACAACTGAAAAAATAATCTAATGCACATGCACAAATAACCAAGTTTTCAATTGCTCCACTTTACATGGATTAGCACAATTAGCCAGATACCAAAAGTGCCTATACATAGGGAAAAAGGAGGGCTTTTGATGCACACACACACTTGTCAATATTAGTAAAGTAACCCTAAATTGATATGCTGTTGTAAGTAATTTAACAGATTTTTGAAATTTGAAACGTTACACATTTTTAAAAAAGCATTAAAAACATTAAATTATTATGTGTTCCACTAAAGTACTTGATTATGTCTAGCTTTATAAATTTATCGTGTTCAAATTGCTAGCAAATTATTTAAATACGTATACATTATAAAACGACTTCAAAAAACTAAAATTAAAACGTCAATTTTTTAAATTTGATTATATGACAAATGGAATTGCCTTGTATTATTACTTTTTCTAATTGTAAATACATGTCATTCATTCTTGTATTGATAACTAAGCAACTATTGAAAGAAAAAAGAAATACCTTAATTTCAACATGGTAGGGTTTCTTGGAAACACTGGTTTGGGGAACAACTTCTCCAGTGATGATAGTTGAACCTCAATTCATGTTTGGATCTGTGTTCTTGTCCAAGGAAGTCTCTATTAGTTTGGAAACGTGTCCACATTTGAACAGTTTCTCTCCTTTCTTTAAATTAATTTTTCTCGGGGTTTCGGTAGATATTGCTTCAAAACCACACTGCCGTCTAAGAAACATTATTCATACGCTCCTAAAAAGAGAAGCATGTGCCACTTTTGTGCCCCGATTTTGTTTCTCCGTGTCAATGCTACAGGCACATCGATCTAGTTTCGCCATTCCTTCCACTAGCTCTATAACTACACTAACTTAATAATTAATACTAAGTAATTTGCTACTATTGGTAGATGTTAGGCACCATCTCTTAACTAAACTAATAATTATAACTTCAATAATTTATTAAATAATTTAGAACCATCTGGATGAAAAAAACTGGCCTAGGGCGGAGCTTGAACCCACAATCTCTGCTTGCCATGCAGTGAGCTTGCCAGTTGTGCCACTCAAAACCCAAGCATTTGCTTCCAGATATATTTAAATTTTAGGTATTACCAATAAATTAAATATCAAACTCAGCTTCTTTTATACAGTAAAACATTCAACACCTTATAACGCTGAGAAATATTTATTAATTCACAAACGTTTTCAGCCTAATGAAATAGGCCATCATCAGGTGATATCGAACAACTTTAGGTTTTACATTACGCAGTTAATCGTGGCACTGACTGGGGACAACTCCTATGCCCACAAGCCTAAATACAACTCCACAATGGTACTCAGCCAGCTAATGTTTTACCCAGTGAGATATAAATATAAGTATATTAAACATCACAAAACCAATTGCAATCATTTAGTTATGTTTCTATATACATATTAGTTTTGCAATGTTTGATATACTTACATTTTTATGAATTTAATATTATGGTAATTTTATTCATATATTTTATTTAATCCAAATATAACTTTAATATAAAGCAAATTATATTTATTCATTTTGGATTAAAACTCTTCTAAGGCCAGTGGTTCATTACTGATCCCATACTTCATAGTGGGTTTGAATTTACCAAAGGCCAAGTTACAAACCAAACTGTTGTAGTGGTCTNAATTAAATTATATGCAATGCTTACTGGAAATTCCAATTTCAGTAAACAAAAATTTTAACTTTTCCCATTCAGTGCTATTTCTTGGAGGTTCATCCTTTAATGGTGCAAATAAGCTATATTAAAAAAATAATAATAATTATTATTATATACAAATATGAAACATTAATATACAGGGTGATCACATGAAAAGTTTATATATATTAGAGCAGAGTTAGAAGTAAAATTCAGTGGCATTTGACTAACCTGTCAAGTGCCAACAATTTATTTATTTAGAATTTCACTGTTATCTCTTCTTTGTTTATTTACTTATTGCAAGTTTATTTAGTATTTTGCAATATGTAGGGCAGTAACAAGCAAGTTTAGCTTATGAGATTAGATCTAGTGTAATACCATATGTACATTTTTCATTTGATTACTAGCACAAAATTACATATTCAATAATTTGTTTAATCTTATTTTAAATTATAAAACAATCATGAAATAAAAAATAATGCACATCACACAAAAATTGTGAAAAATTTGCATTACATTTCAATTACATCATAAAATTTGCTTTAAAAAATTAAAATATTCTGTAATAGTCAGAAAACAGGGAACAACTGAAAATTGTAAAACCTGACCTTTATCAAAATTTATATAAAAATTGTATAATTGTGGAATTAAAGTTCTGAAATTGGCGAAAAAAGTTCATAAAATGAAATAGTAGCCCTTATTTCAACAGGCTGCATCATATTATTACTCATCATTTAATATTTTAAAAAAATGTTTTAAAATTCAAGTTTCTTTATGTTCAGATTTAGAACTATATAGCATTTGAGTAGTTTCAAAAATATTTACAAATAGTAATAATAAAAGGACTTCTTATAAAGATTGTTTATGTAGTTTATGAAGTTTTATTAAACACTTATAAGAAATCAGAAACAACTTAACTTATAAAAAAAATCATGTTAGTAAAGATATAAAATAAGGAAATTAATACTTTAGCCTTTCAAATTTTTAAATAAAAGCTTATTCCAAAAAATCCATAAAATTTAAATAATTATATCATCAGAAGATAAAATTTTAAGTAAACAGAAATGACTTACCCTATAAGAATCAATACTACTGCCACAAATACAAATACAAGAGTATACTTCAGTGCTGCACATATTCTCTAAAAAATATATATAAAAGAAATAAATCTTTAATTCCTTCTTTTCATTTTCATCTATCTTATAAATAAGTATTTACAAATCAAAGTATTTTTAATTTAGTATATTGTGAGAAGCTGGGGGTCAGAGAGTAAAGCTCTAAACCCCTTTCCTGACATCAGTGTGGTGAAGACCGCTCAATTGTCACTGGATGGCTGTTAAATATAGTTGTCTAAAGTATGTCAGATATGGACTATTTTTTCTGACACCAGTTAGGATAGTTATAGTTTGCATCCTAACTCACAATTATGCTAAATTATCATTAAATAGGAAGGTTATATGTTGAGTGGGGAGGTGTGATGGGTCTGTCGATAGGGTGACCATTCTCAGAAGTAAGTCCACACAAGACATTCATTTCAATTTAATGAACTAACAGAAAGCATACAATACCCTGCTATATACTGCCTAAAGCTAATATCTCAATTGACTGAGAGAGAGAGTGTACAAGTCTAATTACTGTTCTACACACAATACCTCATGAAGAGAACTTGATAGTTCTGGATCTGGTTCATACAATGGTCAGCAAGACGATCATGGATCTGGTCTGGGCGAGACAAGAGCTTCCATTCCACCTATGTCAGTCCTTCAAGATGTCTGCTCTCTTCAAGCTAGGTCTGCACTCTTCGTACAATGTCTGCTTCCTCATAGATGTCTACCCCATAGATCAGGTGCGCAGCCATTATATCCCCATCCGGTGTGGGAATTCAATCAGGTGACCTTATGTTTATTCTGATGACACTGTGTCATCACTGGGCCAGCTAGGGCAGTGGAAATTTGACTTGTCAGATTTGCACCATAAGATTCATTTACATATCGATGTTCCACCATATCAACAATTAAACAATCAGTTGTCATAATTTTTTTTCAATTAACTCCCAGATCTCACAAAATAAATTTATATAATGATTATTATTATTATTTTCAATTAATACAGTCGCATGTTTAATTAATGTTCAAAACTTCATATTTTATCAAACAGACCTCAAAGCTTTTGAGCTTGAAAAAGAGAAGACAATTTTAACTTGCTTTCTTCCACAAAGTGAAAAATTTTCTTCCTTCAAATATTTTTGACACATTTACATTCATGAAAGCCATTTAAATTTGCACACATTGCATTTTTAAAAAACATCATAACTAACTAAAACCCAGTTACAATGAAAAGTTTAAATATTTTTAATTACAGTTCTTTTTAATAAAAACCATTAGAAAAAAATTTAATAATTAATTAAAATTTAATTTTTGATTTTTTAATAATTAAAAAAAATTAATAAAAATCATAAATTTGTAAACATTTATATTGCAAGGGAGATTAAAATGATGATATAGAACATGATATATTTCAAACTAAAACTACTTACTTAGCTACATCAACTGTTTATCAGTAACAAGAACAAACAAGGTTTGCAGGCATAGAATTAATGTAGCAAATAGCATAAAAAAAATAAAATTTTTTCAAATTTTTTTTTAAAATCTACAGCAATAACAAACTGTATCTCAAATGATGAAACTAGATATATATATATTTCATAATAAAATTAAAAGCTGCTGCAAAACTGGATGAGATTACAATATGTATTTATGAAACATATTTATGAAAAATACCATATTTTGTTATGAAATAAAAGCATCAACTATCACCTAAAGATGACTGTTAAACAGTTGAAAACATTTGTTCTTATAATAAATTTCTTCATTTTAACTGGATTACAGGTGACAGTTGGTGCTTTTATTTCACAATAAAATATGGTATTTTTCATAAATATGTTTTAAGAACAACTTATATATCAAACTTTAAATATATAAACATCTGATAGTATTGTAACTTAAATCTAACACATCTATAAATAAAATTACATAAATTTATCAATACTTACAGAAGCAATATTATTTCCATCATCATCTTTTTCTTCATAATAAAAATAGATAAATGGCAGAATGAAAAATGCAAAACACAAAACTAGACTGTACATAGCTGGAATGAAACAAACATTTACAGTAATAATTAAAGTAACATCACAAATATACTATATAAACGATTTTTCTGAATATAAATTTTTACTTTAATACTACTTAATCAATTCAAAATACAGAAATTTCAATTGTTTTCCATTTGTTTTATTTATTACTACATATGTGAAACATTTTAATTTATGTTCTTTCAACTCGATATTCTTTTCATTTTATTAACTATATATAAATTATAGTTTACAACATTTTATTTATATATATAAATATATATCTTTTTTAAATTGTACAGATAAAATCCAGAGACTAGAGATTTCCATCCCACATTCCATCAGAAATCCTTTATAAAGCCATATAATTTCAATACAACAAACAAAATACACACAAATGTGATACAAAGTACCTAAAACTTAAAAAATTATAAGGCCAAAAAATAAAATACAAACACTAGAAAAAATGTGATACAACAACCATGAATATAAGATGCTGCTGAATGATTTCTTGTAATTAATGTATGCCAAGTGCAGGTTTCTGTATTGTTTTAATTCTTGTTGTGGGATAAAAATCTATGATTAAATGCTTACGGCAACCCATACAGTTTCTATAATAGCTTTTCTGTTCTGTGAGAATAGTGTAAATTGTTCAATATACTGGTATATGTTGTTTATAATGTATTTTGTGGAAAATTGAATAGCCTGCAATTTGTCTTTATCAAAATAACTACGAAATTATCAACAAACCAGCATCAATTCACTTCAAAAACAAACGTTTTCTACCGTCTTCAACGGTCATCATCAAGTTCGATTCCAAGAAAACATTCGTTTTTGAAGTGAATTGATGCTGGTTTGTTGGTAATTTCGTAGTTTTTTGTTAATTCTCACACCAGTAGTGTTAGTATGATGGATGATTATTTGTCTTTATTATTATTACTGTTATTTTATAATAAACATAAATAAATTCTGCAATAAGTGAATGTACTGTTTCCTGAAAATCCTGTTTCAGGAAACAGGGTTTCCTGAAACAGGATAATTAACCTACAATTAATAATAATTGTAGGTTATTATTAATCCATAATAACCTACAATTTTATTAAACTAGGTTTAAACTTTTGAACTAAATCTTTAAAATAAGATCATTAATAAAGCCATTTAAATCAAAAATAATTTAGATTATATGTCAAAAAGCTAATAATTCCTTATTTTCATAATTCTTAAATTTTTTCATTCATAAAGCTAAATATATGTCACTTTCAGTGATATTTCACAAAAATTAATTAGATAATGGCAAGAAGATAATTGAATATAAAAACTGAAAACTAAAAAAGGAAAATGAGAAACAAAATATTTTAAATATTTTTCTTAAAACAATAATTTTACTTACTATAATAGGCATAAAGAACTGCATTTTCAGCTTCATCTCGTACAGTAGCATTGCTAGCCCAATCCTAAATAAAACATAGAATAACAATTAAAAATTTTTAGATAATTCTGTACTAACAACAAAAGTATTTTTATTGTATTATTTTCCAAAATATTTTAATCTTATTTGAATGAAGCAAGATATTTATATATAAAAATAAATATCTAAAAAGAATTTAAGAATGCCATTTAATAATTACTAATCATGGAAAATATTAGTGTTGAACCAAATATTCAGCATTATTCAGTATTTGGATATATTCAGCCACAAAGAATACTAAATATTCGACCAAATATTAAACATATATATACAATATCCAGACATAATACTTCCTCAAAGCTGAAATTTGGCTAAAATAATTTCATTTTAGTTGGGGAGAAAGAGAAAGAGAAAAACTTTTGGATAAAATTATGATAAAGTTTTGTGGATATTATATACTTTAGTATACTGTAATAGTTAAACTTGTCAGAAAAAAAGACAGTTTATCCTGTCAGAATTCCAGCTTTATTTAAATATAAAAAGTTTAATTTTTCAATGTTACCCCCACCTTCTATATATTTTTCATATAGAATAAGATCAAAATGTTCCTGAGCTGAGAGCTGGTGACAATTTTATGAGCAACTACAAATTTTTTAAAACCATATCGGATAATGAATAATTTTGAATAAAATCAACTATTAACAATTATGTTTAAATAAATTAAGATTTATTGAAACTACTTATAAATATACTCTAATATTAACACTAATTTAAGGAAAGATTTAATTCAGGAAATTTTTAACATTACATGTATTCTTAATCTATTAAATTCATACCAAAACACTCCAATAAGAGCAAAAGCAAAGAATCACTCCTCTTCTAGATATTATAAGAAAAAATTTCTCTTTCACAATCTCATTTTTTTCAATATCATCATATATACAACTTCCCTTTCTATTGAATATTTAATTTAGTTTCAACTAAATTAAAATTGTTTTAATAAAAGTTAAGAATACATTTAATACTAGCAATTCATTCTAGAAACTTATCATATTTATTTGAGAAAATATTTGTAGTAATATTAACCAGCAATCACATGTAGTAACAATAATTTTCCACACCAACTAATTTTTTCACAGGACATTTTTCCTCAATTCACATACTTAGCTGTGTTTTCATGATATTCTCACGCTACATGCTGTCTGTCTGTGTGAAAATTTCAGTTGAAAAAAATGTTTTCTACATATTACAGGCTCTCAGAAAACTGCTGTGGAAAACCATTGCCTTACACTTTGCAATTGTGTGCAAATTTTCCTTATTATCACACAATCAATGTAGCAATTTTTCACTCTAGTGTCATTTTCAGTGACCTGATGTCATCAAAAATGACTTGTCACTGAAAATGAGAATGGAAAATTGCAGCCCCTTCTACCTCTTGTGGCAATTTTGAGAGACTTGATGATGGTCTCTCACAACTGTCACAAGAGGTAGGCATGATGTTATGGATATAGGCAAGCATAATGGTGATGGTAATGGCATGGCAAGTGTCTGCAAGTTGCTACTATCTTAAATATTTTGCTACTATATTAAATATTTGTCTCCATAAGATAACCTGGAGCACTAAAACCTTTCAACAATTTAAATGTTTTTGTGGCTTTATTTCCTGCCTGAAAAATACAGAAAAATTTTCTGCTCTTTATAAGAAACACCTCAACCTTTTTGCCATTTATTTTCAAGTGAACTTATTTCACATTAGCCCATACTATTGCAAACTTTAAAGGGCTCCCTATGGGAGATGGTCAAGGACACTGTTCTGTAATTATCACAATATCTTATAAACTAAACAATGTATGATGTTAAAACTTTGCACATGCAAAGACATATCACAGGACTCTTCAGAATCATCGAATTAGAGGAACAGAAATTATGCGCAGCGTAATTATGCATAAAAAAAAAATCCACAAAAAATTGTTGCCTTATTATGCATGAGATCATGTGAAAAAATAATTGCATGTGATTGCAGGTTAATTAAATATCAAATGAAAATTTAATAAGAAATTTTAAAATACATAAATAATCTTAGTTAATAGTTAATAATTATCAAAGTTGTTACTGGTACGATATACCTTAAATGTTCCATTTGAAGTTTTCATAAATGAAACATAAAAAATGTCAACTGGAATAAGTAACGCAGTAAGAACAACAATAGCCAATCCCAATACAGCTGTGACTGTTGAACTCCTTTCACTGTCATATTTGCACCGAAAATATCGAATGTAACCACCAGAAAATAACAATGTTACCTGAAATTATACAAAAATTATTTATCACTAATTTATTCATTTAAATAATATATATATTATGATACATTTACATGCTTATAATCTAAAAGTTGTAAAAGTAAATAGATGTTTGCATTTTTAAATTTTATGAAATGAAATTTTTCAGTTAACTGTCAACATTATTACATAATTGAGTTTTAGACTAATAAATAAGAAATTTAGTTAGTTCTTTATACATTTCATCATGGTTTGAGCAAATGCATTAAAACTTTTCAGGAACAATTCTCTCATACAAGAGAAGATCAAAGACTATTTTTGGTTGAATTAATTTCAACTTTCCATCCACATGGTGGCATTTACATAGGAAAATTGTTTAACAAAAACAGGCACTAAATATGTTTTACAGGTGTTCAAAAGGCCAAGTTTAAATACAGTGGGTGATCGGTTAACGAACAGATCGGTTAACGAACAAATCGGATAACGAACACTTTCTCGAAAGATTTTTATGATCGGACAACGAACACATGTTCGGATAACGAACACTTCACTGAACAAACACAAGAAGAAGCGACGTAAAATAACGAATACCGATTGGTCTTCCTTTGTCTTCAGGCAACAATTCGAAACTTTTCGGAGCGCGAGAGACGTCGACACCGACGTTCAACCCAGTATATACTGATCGGATAGTATTCCCCCGAACTTTGAAACTCTCCCTTGTAATTCCAGCCTTTTATATTTCTGACAGAAACAATTCTTTTACGTTTTCTTCTGAAAATGCAGATTTATGCCGATATCTGCTATTAAAGATCTTTTGAAGAAGTGGGAGGATGTCAGAACAACAATCTTAAAATGGCATTCAAACCAGGTTAAGGTTAATAGGCCTAGGGATCGCTACAATTACAATGCTATTAATTACTTCTGAAAAATCATGAAGAAGACAGAAAAGCAATCGACATTGGACAGATTCTTTAACCCCCACAAACGGAAAAAACATGACTAATGAAAATACAAGACCGTGTATATTGTATATGTATTTTTATTATTACATATGAATAAACATAGTAAGAAAGTATATATTTTTTATTCTTGGGGAGTCTCCAGAACGAATCAATCAAATTCCCATAGAAACATATGGTAAATCGATAATTGGTTAACGAACAATTCGGATAGCAAACAAAGTCTTGGAACGGATTATGTTCATTAACCGATCACCCACTGTATTTGATCCATTTTTTGCAAAATTTGATTAGTTGGTTAATTACCATTTCACATTCAGCTATGAATGGTAAGTTACAAATTAACATTAGAAAAAATTCGGACGTCTCAAATTTTCATCTCATGCAGGCGAAAGTCGACAACTATTTTCTGTTGAAAAGAATCAATTCCTATCTATCTATTTGTCAATGAAATTGCACCATTCTGTATCATCAGAATATTGCATTCTTAGCAACACAAAGCATGTACTTTTTCACAGTGCCATGCATGAATTTTTGTCCATTTGTCTTGAAATCGATCAATCAGATTTAATTTTTTAAATTTTTGTTAAATGAATTTATATATGACTGATTTTTTATCTTTTTCAAAGTAAATTTTTGTTATTTTTTATTTTGTTTCATTGCATTTCCTTATTACAATGTATTTAACATTTTGTGATAAACATGACAATGGTATGTTAAAATAACCAGACTCTTAATATGGTTTTTATTTTAATGTTTGTCATTCTTAGTTTTTTCTCGGGCAGTGCTGGGGCATATCTGTTACTTATAAATATATACACACATACACACGTATATAAATAACATGTCTCTATTAATGCATCCAACAGTAACAGCTTTTGCCAAACAACTGCCAGATCACATCGGACTATAATAATATTACTAATTATTAATTAAAAGTCAAGTAATTTGACCTATAGGTAGACATTAAGTGCCATTTCTTGATTAACTTAATAATTATAATTAAATTAATATTTAAAAATTATTTGGAATATTCTGAAAAAAAAAAAAGAAAAAAATCAGTCCAAAGCAAATTCAAACCACTAACTCCACTTGTTATGTGGACACATTGCCAGTTACACTACTTGGATCTCCATCTGATCTTCACCTGTCTCCAGTCAGCACCATATAGTTATATCTAAATTAATATTGTTGGAGGCAAAGTTTAGATGGAGATCCAAGTAAAACTAGAATACTAATTTTAATATGCTTATTAAACTTTTTAAAAATTAATATTGCAGTCTTTCTTTGAAACTTCATTCCAACTCATTAATCAAACTTTTGTTTTTTGATAATTTTTGGATAAAAAACATAAGAATTACGAGTTTAATAATATTGCCATAGATAAAATAATTGACAATTTTCTCAGGAACACAAAACTATTGACTATGAGGATTTGTTAAATAAATTAACAGTAAATCACACAAAAATTGAAGAAAAAAAAACAGAATGGAGATAATGCTAATAAGTTCTAAAGCAGAATGAGTCCACCAGCATATCTTGCAATAGTCAATGGCCACGGCAGCAAAAATTTATTTTACTATATTATTATTTATTAACATTAATAAATACTAGTTTATATATAAATAATTGGGCTGCAATTTGAAAAAATTGTAGACCTATAAATTCAGTGTTGTCCACCTGCCTGTCTGTGTCTCTCTGTCTTTCCTTAATCTCAACAACAGTATTAGATAAATGAAATTCAAGACCAGATATGGAAAATTTAGGGGCAATAGGCCCCGATTAACTAATATATGAACTTCTGATGCAAACCAGAAGTCACATTATTTCTATTCAAAAATTTTCCCATAAAAGGAGTTAGATGACAGACAATACTTTTCCATTAGCAACGGAGTCATGTACAAGGGTAAGACACTACAGTATTAATTTGAGGTGGAGAGCATATATTTTAAATTAAATAAGTTAAAAATATGATTAAACATTGCAGCCTGGCATTGTGACAATTTCACAATAAATAATTGCTAATTCCAAATTACAATCTAAAATTAAAAATAACACATATATAAAAAACACATTTGTTTATAATTTATATACAGTATATACACAAACTGTCAATAAATTAATTAATTAATTACTTAATAGTATTATAAATCATTTCATCCAAAACAAAATTTCACAATATAAGAAAATAATAAAAGTATTTATAATATAATTTTAACTGAACATTATATAATAGTAATTTAGATATTGTGATACAATATAAATATTTTATTCAAAAACAGCATGATAAATATTAATTTTAAAAAGAGTATATGAAATATAATTGAAATTTTAGAGATATACTTACACAACATGTTTCAAAGAAAAGAATTAAGAAAGCCATAAATAACAATAAAAATCCCAAAATCAAATGCAAATGCCGAACACGAACAAATGCAAGTGCTGTTATGTACAGTACAATATGTCTCAAAGAGGACAGGCAGCCTTATATCTCTGGACCTAGTAGATATGAAAATTTGAAATTTAGGAAGTATTAATAGTTAGATCTAAAACTGCATTTTTGCATGTTCTTTCAAACAGTAACCTGTATTTTATAGCATAGGGCCTATACTTTCAGAAGATTTTTTAATGCTGAATCTAACAGTATAATTACATTTGAAATGAAATAACCATTCAGAAGTTACACTGAAAAATTTTCTGTTCCTAATAAAGATAAAATCTTATCTTTGTTTAATCATGAATAGTAGTAATTATTCTAAATTCTTAGATATGCAACTTAAACATTTTATTTGTCAATAATTCATATACAAAAGTAATCAAATGTTGAATCAAATAACCTCTGAAATCACATTTAGATTTAATCTTAAGTAGATAATTTTAATACAACAAAGTTTGCTTACTTTTTCATTCCCAAATTCCATATTATCTGAAGAAAATTTTTATGAGAAACAATTATTTGTACTATTATTAAAACTTAGTATACTAAGATTTTTCTGATATATTTTTTCTGAATAGTTCATTCAATTTTAAATTAATTATAGGGTTAGATTGTTATTTACAACTGCAATCAAGACAAACCAAATATCAAGACAACATGCTAAAGTGCATAATGTATGAAAATCAGTGAAGGTTTATGTCACAATCAATAAATTTTCATCAAAATTTAAAGAAAAATTCTTTTTTATATAGGAAATTAAGAAAGAAAATTACTATTATTTTCTTTCCTATTAATTTCCTGTTTGTTATAATTCATTACCTCTAAAAAGTTAGTATTCTAGTAAAAAAAATTTAATTATTTTTCACATCTTTCCATGTGTTTTAGCATCCAATTTAAATTTTCACATTCCATGCTTTTGCACATGGAATGTGTAACTTTTAGATCTATTAAGTTTTGAATTTCCAGACCTACCAGAGTAGACAGAGATTCTGGGATATATTGAATACATTCACAACTGAAAACAAATGATCTGCACTCTAATGCTGTTATCTGTATTTATCTTGTTTCTATATGTCCTTCATATTGATTTGAGAGGTATTTTGGAAGAACTTTAAAAAATAATTAAACAACTATTACTGTATTGTACTGTACATACCTCAATGGGTATGTTTACTTTTAGCTCCAATCTTGCCCCTAGCAAGCTCAGCCTGTATACTTTTTGTTAGCTACCAATGAGCACAGCGTTTACTTTTTGCACCCTTGACGTCATTGCTAGCATTCCTAGCATGCTCAGCGTGCTTGGAGAATTTCCAATGAGCTTGAAGTTTGTTCAAAGATGGCGGTGTCCATTACTGTGTATACTTTTATGAGCGTGCTAGTATGACGTCAGGCTGCACTAGGTGTCAGCTCAGCGAGCTTGGAAGCTAGCTAAAAGTAAATGCACAAAGAGATGTATGATCAGCAAACAAAGAGTATTCCACTGTATTGTCTTTCAAAATATCTGATCATGTGGAAACAGTAGTTAGATGTTTTAAAACTTGAAAAAAAGAAAGTTTTGTTTGCTCTTTGCATTGTCATATGACTGATAACATATTGTCAAGTAAAAAATATTATACTTTATTATCTAAAGATGATTCATTTTAAAAAGTATGAATTTTGTGTGAATGCAATATTTTTATTTGGATACCACTTTAAAATAAATTGTTTGATAACATTTGCTATCATTTAATTTGAATCTTTGTGTCAACAAATTAAATATTTATTCTCCCAAAAAGGACTCAGAGAATGACACAGCACCAATAAATTCTAATATATTAGCTCCTAAACGAAAATATGTATACTCCCTTTTATTAATTAGTAAAATTTTATATTTTTAATAAATGAATAACTATATTATAGATCAAGAATAAAAGAAAATTTTTAATAAAATAACTTCATGAGTCTGCAAACAAATCTTTGATATTGTCAGAGTCCATACAATTAAAATAGTTTGCGTCAAGTATGACTTCTCCTTTAATTAATACTATTTTGCTTTTTCTCTAAATATGCTAATATATTGCTTAAACTGAGTTTCTTAAAAGGCATATCTAATAACTACTCATTATAACTCAATTTGCATAATGTAATATATATGTATAATATAATAAACAGAACAATATATTATTTTCAGTAAAATCAAATGGACATACTATAGTTCATTTCAATCTCAGAAATTGATAATTTGCAGTGTCTCACAAATATGGACAATTACAAAAGCTGAAAAATAACACAAAATTATATCATCTTTATGAATCATATAATGAATTTTTAAGAATATTTAATTATTTAATACATTTTTTTCTGTTAGTTAAAAAATTTCTCAAAATCTTTCTGATCTGAATTAATCAATATACCTTTAGCAATCACTGGAGTTTAAAGAATTGTTTTCACTTTCAACTGTCCATGCCTAAAGATGGCCTATCAACTGAATCAAAAACGATAGCATTTTTTAAACTTCATTCAGTGTTAAAGGTACATTAATTAATTCAGCCAAATAATAATTGCTAGTTCATCTTTTTCTGACCTTCCTGATCTGTAAGATTTTGTCAAATTCTGGAAATAAATTATCATCATATTTATAATAATTAATTTCTTTAGATCTAGGAATATGATAAGATTATAAATCAAAATTAATATTACTGATTTACTAAGGGTAAATTTATTTTTTCTGATGTATTGATATTACTTTTGAATTATTTATTAACAGAATAGAATGTCAAGTCACTATATGAAACACAGTAATTTGAATATTTTATATTTTAATTATTTATTTATTTAATATCACAAGTTTGACTTATGTTTAATATGTTGTATACTATATTTTAATGCTAGCATACTGTATTTTTTAAATGCTGAAAACTGGTCCACAGATTAAGTAACTCTTAAGCTGTGGACCAGTTTTCAGGTGACCTAAGTCTGTTAGGAAGTCACACTCCCTTATCTGTGCTAAGATATACATCAGTTTAAACATTTACACCACTTTTATTTTAGAAAATAATTCATTAGTATCAACATCAAATTTGACTTTTCTTCTTTTACTATTCTATTCATGAAATTTTCAATTTAATTACATTTTATAAATATTTAATAATAAAGTGTGCAACAACTCTCCCATAAGTAAGAAATAATCAAAAAAGCTTGGAAACCATCTTTAATGTCTTAATTATACATATAGAATATTACAAAGACTAAAAACATCTATAAACAAATATCATCATCATTTTAATTTATTACAATCAGAAAACAGACAAAAATTTGCTAAATTAAATATTTTACAAAAACAACAAAATTAAAAATTTGAGACCGAAACATCTTTTGCAGTCATAATTTCAATACGGCATGTATTTTGCACGGACGCCGAGAGGAAGACGGGGCCTGGACCGGAAACGAATGTTGATCTCACCATTCTCCAAAAATAGGTTAAAGTCTACCTAGGTAGTCCCAATGGCGGCACTTCGGTTACATTAGGTTAGATTAACTATATTTTTAGTAGATGTTTCCCCTTTTTACTTTTGTTCAAGAATTACCATAAATCAATAACTAGTGACGTTAAACACACGGCAGCCTGAGGTGGCTCCCTTCTGGGAGGAGTCCATTGGGAGCACAAGTAAGCGTGGCCATTGGGACTACCTAGGTAGACTTTGACCCAAAAATACACCAGCAAAATTAATATAAAAAAAAATATATTTTTACCACTTATAAAAATAAAACCAAAAACTTTAATTTACATCATTTCCTGTTTTTTTTTACATAGGAATAAATATTTGAACCCACATCTCCTGGACTCAGGCAAAATGGTCTTGCTGGCCCTTCTATTTGATCCTTTTGCGTATTAATATAAACACGTGACCACGTGACTTTTTCTGTCATACCATCTATACGCGTTACTAATCAATAACATTCTATTATTTAAAATCGAGATGATTATTTTTTTTAATATTTAACATCTTGATTATAATTAAAAGTGTATTAAAAGTAAACTTTTACCAATTTATATTGACTTACAATTATCAAAATAGCAAAAGGGATCCAAGCGGAGCAATTTACATCGACCGGAATGAAACTCGCCATTTTGACTTGAAGCGCCACCTTCGCGATAACTACGCATATATAAAAAGCTTATTTATGATTGGTTATTTCAAATGCATGATTTCTATGGTAATTTGATTAATAATAATTTTTTTTTATTATTTGGCGGAAAAATGCTTTCAGATAAGAAACAATGTTAACCTTTATTTAATTATAGTTAAGGACACTGTTGAGAAATAGATCTATAGACGTTCTTTGCTTTCTAAAATCATATTTTATTTAGAAAAATAAGAAATAATTAATATTTTGTAAGCATTCATTGTTATTCCTTTTTCTTTATAGCTTTTTATGGAGTAAATTTTATAGTTTAATGTGATAATGTAGCATTTATCTTTTTTTTTCTTTTTTCTTTTGTGTGGACGTTGTTCGATTTTATTTTGTTATATTTTTGAAATTTTATAAATATTAAATAAATTATAAAGTTGTATAATAAGTTGTAAACATTTCTTATTTCCATTTTGGGGGAAAGCGAAAATTTAAAAACCGGTTAAAACCGTATTCGTTGAAAAGTTGAGATTCGAAAACCGATGTTTTAAAAAGTCGGTTTTTGTATAAACCCAAAGGGGACGTATCAAGGACTATATACTACCAAGGATAGCCAGATCCCTATTCTACAATGTTAGCCAGGAATGCCAAGTTAGTGACGTCAGCACGAGACCTGACCTCTTTGTTTACCTAGAGCAGGGTGTGCACGTGTTTAGTTTTGGCTTTTAATATTCGTCCAATTTTGTGATTAACGAAGTGATTTATTTTAATATTTCTGTAATTGTTTTATTTGACTAAGTTTTTTATAAGGTAAGATGATTTAAATATAAGTCATTAAATATTTAAAGCTATATTTTTATGTTAGGTGAAGAACAAAATGCCGGGTACTAGGTGTGCTGTGTATGGTTGCAATAATAACCTTCTTGCAGTAAAAGCTAAAGGAGAAAGTGTAACGTTTCATGTGTTTCCTAGACAAAAAGACTTAATTTCTAAAAGAATTAGGTCTGAATGGATTAATCGTTGCAAAAGGAGCGATAAATTTAATCCAGATACAAGTAGAATATGTTCTGTTCATTTTGTTCAAAGTGATTATGAAAGAGATTTACGAAATGAATTGTTGGGTAAGTCATAAGTACAGTTCATTCATATATATTACTTGTTTTGGCGCGTGAATGTTTAATTTGTTTGTTTTAGTATAAAACTCCAGAATATTTTCTATTTCAGGTTTACCAGAAAGAAAGATTCTGAAGAAAACAGCTATCCCTACATTAAATCTTCCGGATAGAATGAACCCAACAGTTACGGAACGAGAAAGAAGAAGTTCAAAAAGAAAACAAAAAGAAGTTAATGATCTTTTAACAAATAATGATAACAATAGTAACAATCTTCAAGATGAATGTCATTACGAAATTAAATATAAGAAGCTGTTAGAAGAATATAATGTTTTAAAATCGGAATATGAAAAATTGAAAGAAGATCATAAGAAAAGAATAAAAGTATTAAACGATTTATTACGATATTACAAAAGAATTCCTTCTGAAAATGGTGATTGTCGAAAAAAATTAAAAAGTTAAGTAAGATAATCACATAATAAAAAATACAGCTCGTTAATTTGTTAAATAAATGTTAGACAAAAGACTTGTAAATTTATTTACGTACACTTATTATATCCGAAAATTCTATAGTAGTTTACAGTTAGTAGTAATTTAGTAATTAATTAATTAAGAAATGATTAAGTATTTTATCGTATTTTGTTATTTGAAAGCATCTGTCATGTTGAAGTAGAGGGCTTGCTGTGACGTCACATAGATCCAAGGTCACGCTAACAAATATACGGGATCTGGCTATCCTTGTAGTTTAAAGTCCTTGGGTCACGACACTCAATTTGCGCTTCTCCAACAGCTGGCCACATGGAGTTTTCCGTGTTTTCATAACACGTTAATAACACTTAAATAGGGCAGTTTCCCTTAGAAAGTCCTTCCGGGAGGCATCATTTCTTGGTGTGTCGCGTTGCTGTAACCAAATAAATTGAATGGACAACCGATTATGTACGAAAAATTATATTAACCTATCCCGTGTTGAAATTAGTTCAAATCTTGGCACGTCCTTAAATGTGCATAATTAAGAAAGACGTGATAAATACTACTAGTTTCACTATTGAAAGAAGAAACATTTACTTATAACTTTTTATACGCTCTTCAGCTTGACGAAATAGAGTCTGTCTCCCTGAAGTTAAATACCGTCCTTCTTATGAAGGTTTTGGAGATTTCTAACCTTTGAAGTTGTTTCGATCGAGGCATTATTTTCTCTCGATGGCGTCTGTTTCATTTCTAAGGAGTGAGGAAATTGTAGGGTTCTTCACTCCTTAGAATTCTGTGCTTACTATATCGGGCTACCTCCTTATAGATGGAACAGAGGACTTTGTGGTAGGTGACTACCACGCGGCCCTTTATTCCATAGAGTTTCCTAGGCTGAAACATTCGGAAAGGATCGTAACAATAATGTGACCTCCTTGGTACCTCGTCAGGACTGACACCACTGTGTCTTCGGGATAAACACAGAAACCGCAACTTTAGAATTTGCGCGAGCGGTTACGTATGCGGCCGATCGGATTCGGGATGGAGGAGGGTTGAGAGACGGATCGGAAGTGATTCACTCGAATACAAGGTTAACAGCAAAAATAACTAATTTAATGTAACGGAAAAGAATACATGGCTGACCGACCGAGAGAGAGAGTTTACATGACATTGCGTGTCGTTATAAATACCTGGTTCACTGGATGTTCCAAATAGTCGTGGAGACACTGGGGTGGCCGGGAAATGTCTTTGAGAATGTCTTTAGGGCTTTGAACGGCGATTAAAGTCTATCGGAAGTTAAAATCCGTCGGTTCTTCGTAGGTGTTCCCGGAGAAACACAGGATGTTCGGGAGGAGCGGCAGCTGCGGGCGATAAATCCTTTCGGTTGGCACTGAGGGAATACTCTCGCGGACTCTCGACGACCTCTGTTCCATGAATTCTTCTTTTTATTTTTTCATGTCACGTTGTCCCTCTTCACCAATAGAGAATTTTTTGTTTTAGTTCCCAGTGACACATTCTGAGTTCCATGGGAAAGGAAACAACTCCGGGAAAGAGAAATGCACTCATCGTTATAAAAAGTTTTAATTGGCAATAATTTGAGCTTTTGTAATTTTGAGTAACATTTTGAATAAAATTCATTTATTTCCATGCAATTTTATCTTTATAAATATAAAATTAAGCCGTAAAACTGAATTAGCGCTATGGGAAACCTCCGTGAAGTTTTACCTATCTACCCGGAAATTTCGTATGTATTTTACTGATAACGAGAAATGCTTAATTATCTAAATTAATTCGTATATATGACTAAATTGAGACTTAAAATTTCTCTATCCCTAAAACAATTTTTTCAAAAACATTTTGTATGATTAGTTTGAAAATACAGTAGAACCTCGATTATCCGGATTGTTCAAAATAAACAAAAATTTTACGAATTTGCTGATTTGCACTTGGCGAATTACGACACTGTTTATGTACGTGGTGGAATGCATAACATTTTTTGTTTCAACAACGTCTCACCCGGCACAGTGGTCGTAAACTCGAGTATATAGCAGGATATCTTGCCTATAAATACAGTAATACCCCGAACTTACGCGATACGTGGAACCGAGCGATAGCCGCGTAAGTCGAATTCGCGTAAGTCGGGGTATAATTTTGCATATAAATACATACAAATAACACAAAATAAATTGTAGCTATATGTCAAACACGTCCGAACATGTAAGCCGAACAATAGTGTGGGGGGAAATGAGTAATTAAGAGTTGCGTGGCGCTCAAACAAAAGACGAATCGACGAGATTTGAAAATCGCGTAACTCCGGATTCGCGTAAGTCGGGGTAGCGTAAGTCGGGGTATTACTGTATAAAGAAAAATACCCAAACTTGGGTAATTCCACTAGCAAAATTAAAAATCATCACAACTATAGCATTCCGTCATGGGTGCAGCGTTTATCTTATGGAGGGCTTATTAAACCTACTGATGAATGGCTAGCAAAAATTACAGAGTGGAATAAATATTTCGAAATATATCGCGGTGAATCGTATAAAAAAGGCCCCGGAGTTGTACAGAATTTGTCAGTGGAAATATCAAAACAAGAAACAGCTTTACCTTTTACCTTAATAAAAGATTTTTGTAAATTAAGAACTATAATAAGAATTAATTATAGAAATCTTAAACAAGAAAACTATAAAATATTGAAAAGAATGCCTTCTGAAAATGGTGATTGTCGAAAAAAAATTAAAAAGTTAAGTAAGATAATCACATA